TAAATTTCATACTATTGTGCTAAAATGCTAAAGTTGGATACATTAAAATACTTTTATGCTCTTATGCTTAAATACATGTATTTGAACTTTATTATGCAAATTAAACTTGAATACATGAATTTATTACGCTTTAAATTGAAAATATTTGCTTGAAATTATTTGCTCTTGAATTTTGTCCTATGCCTTGAATTAATCTTTTTTTTGGTATAACAAAAAGGGGGAGAAATATTTTGTGGACAATTTTGTTTTGATGTACATTTATGTGCATGTGCTTAATAGATATATATGCCTTAATATATATATATGTAAGTTGTACTATGAGTGTTGGATGTTTTGATATGTATGTGCTTAAAAGAATATTTGTTATAGTGGGTTGGATTATGACTTTTGGATTGGAATGAAAAATGCATTAGTTGAAGGTAAGTTTTCCTAAAAAACATGCATTATTTAATGGGGACTTTTCAAATAATTTTAAAAAATCTTAAATGTTTTAAAAGAAAGTTTTTCATCAATCAAATATATTTTTAAGTTTTGTCATATCAAAAAAAATGAAGAATCATTAGTTGAAAAGGGAGTTTTACAATTAAACATGCATTGTTTAAGCGGTAGTTTTTCAAAATAGTTTTAAAAAATCTTAAATGTATTAAAAAAAAGTTTTTCATTAATTAAATTTATTTTTAAGTTTTGTCATATAAAAAAAATAAAGAATGCATTAATTGATAGGGAGTTTGGCTAGGAAAAATGCATTGTTTAAAGGGGAGTTTTTCAAAATAGTTTTAAAAAATCTTAAGTGTTTTAAAGCAAGTTTTTTATCAAGCAAATTTATCTTTAAGTTTTGTCATATAAAAAAAGTGGGAGATTTTTAGCCTTAAACTGATCCTTATTTTAAAATGACAAAACATTAAGGTAAATAAACTTGATTAAGATTTATTTAATACTTGTTCTGAAGTTTTATTATTTTTGGTACTAAAAAAATAGTATTTTTTTCAAAGTGATATTTAATTTGAAAAATATCTTGAAAAATTATTTTAAAAGATTGGTTTTAATGTTTGTATCAAAAATACAAATTTCCAAGATTGAAAATCTTTTGTAAAATGTTTTTCAAAGTTTAAACAAACTTTTCTTTATGTTTTTATATATCTCGAACCAAAATTATCTTTAAAAATTATTTATTGAGCTTAAATGAAAGTTCACTTGTTTTTAAAGTGAACTATTCATCTTGGGCTCAACACAATTTTGATAATATTGGTTTTGAGAAATGAATTAACTTGAGAAAATTGTTTTACAAGAACAAAGTTTTTCAACATTGAATATATTTTATTTTTAATATTGATTTACAATGTTTTTAATATTTGAATTTTGTATGGATGAAAAGTTTTTTTAGTCTACTTTCTAATGGATCAAACAAAATCAAAATCCAAATTTTCTAAAAAAACAATTTTGAATTTTTATTAGAGCCTATGCAAGTTGTCTAACAATTGCACAAAGGGTAGTTTTAAAAATTCACTATAATTTTTATTTATTGAATTAGATGATGAATTTTATCCTTTAAGTCTAGTTTCTAAATCTTCAAAATGGATCTTGATTTAGAGTTGTATAACTCAAGATATGATCAAATTAGTAAGTATAGTGTAAAGCATGATATAGTTTAAAGCTTCCAAGTGCACTATTCATTTAGAATCACCACGTATGCGAAACTAACTTGACCTGATTGATCACCTATCAAAATGGATCAATCCATTCTCTTGCAATGGTCAAAATTTGAATGAAATTTAAGAACCAATTGATCATTAATGTACCTGATCGATCCTTTCACTACCGATTCTAACGGCTATTTTGAAAAGAAAAAAGCATGCAATTTCATTTCCCAATCTTCTCTAACAGATACAAACTAATTTTTTCTATAAATTGGGCATTCCAACATGCTTGTGATGTAAAAAAGTAAGCACCAACAAGCTTTACATTCATTATTTCAAAATTTCAAGAGCATTATAAAGATTAGAGCTTTAATCCTTTTCATTCTTGTATCCAAATTATATTTGTTCTCCATTTATTATTTTTTGTACTTAAATTAGGCAAACACTTAAACTTTAAAAAGTATTTCATAGTTTGTAAATTCTTTTATGTTCAAAAGAGATTTTTTTTGTGTCCAGAGGTAAGATATCCTTTTAAGTGAAATTGATAGATTAGGTTAAATCCTAGAAAAGGTAAAGGTTTGTATCTTGACCTTGAAAGATAGGGATTGTATTTTGTAAGAAAATTTTCAATTAGTGGATTGAGCTTGGCTAGAAAAGTTAAGGGAAATGACACAAGTGCCTTTGGAAAAGGATTGAACCTTTATAAATCTCTGTGTTTGATTTCTCTGTCCTTACTATTTTATTTTTATTATTGTTTATATGTGCATTAATTTTCTTTATTATTGTTAATCTCATCAAATTCCCATTAAAGTTTTTATTATTTTCAAATTTTCAATCAAATTTATTGAAAGTCAATTTTGGAAAAAAAATTTGAGATAATCCTATTCATCCCACTCTTGGATTGCTATCTACACTTGAGCTAACAAAAGTTTGTCCATTTAAAAAACATGATTATTTTCTAAATTTGTATCTGAAAAATTGTTTTTGTCCAAATAAACACATATTTGGCCATTTATATCTATACAAACTATGTTTGGACAATCATGTTTACACAAATAAACTTTTGTTTGGACAATTGCTTGTACAAACAAACATTTTTTTGGACAATTATATCTATATAAAAAGATATCTATTTGATTATAAATAGGACTTCTCTAGTTTTTGTTTAAAAAAGAAAACAGTTGACATTGAATAAATTTATAGCTAAATCAAATAATTTTGCTCTTATGCTAGTGAATATTTGTGGATTGATTTTGTCAATGTAAAACATAACCGGTTACTAAGTTTCATTGTATCATTGAGGTTTATACACTTGAAATGCTTTTTCAAACCATTAATTAAATGGTGTAAAATCTTAAGAAAAGTGACCTAGTTGCATGCTTGGAAACCTTTCCTTATATATATTTTCAGATACCTACATAAAGAATTTATAGTCTTCCAACACCAACATCAACTAAATACCTACTTAAGCATATGATTTTAATATAAAGGTATTGATGATATATTGATATTTATATCTATAAGATTATATTAAAGCTGTCCCTCAATTTTCAATTTCATAGCTAGCTCAGCTTTTTGATAAAAATAATTATAGGGACAATTTAGGAAGAAATGGTAATGTTAGTAAAGAGATTTTGGTAAGAAAGGTTTAGAGAAGAATCTAGAAGAAAAAAATGGAAAAATAGGAATGGGAAGGAGAGGCACCAATGAGAGAAAAAGGGGAAAAAAAAGAAGAATTGATAAAGAAGGAATTTAGATAAGATTAAGAGGTTGTTTCCAAAATAGCATTACGACATCACGCTGTGGATGGTAGGGTCAATTAATGATTGGTTGACGGTGAAGCTGGCACTTAATATTGGGTGTGGTAAAAGGATTTTGCTGAATGCAGTGGCAACTCAGCCAAAGAAAACTGGGAGTTTAGGTATAGGTGTTAGGCTAGATTGCTCTAAATGAACTACTTTGTCTATACTACGAATTGCTAATGTGGAAGGTTTATGACTATTCATTTTTCTTGAATACATTTCTTTTCAATTTAATTTCCAAAAAACGAAAATTTTTGTTGTTGTTAGTGAACTCTTACTTTTTCTAACAGCAAGAAAAAATCTTCATGTATGTGAGTTTTTACATGCATTCATTTCTTTGTTTGTACTTATTTAAATAAGAATAAGATGAGACTTAGTCTAATTCATCATTACCTCTAGCAATTGTATTGAAAGCTAGAATTGACAAGGAAATAGAGGTTAAAAAAATCACAAATTTCAATTCACAATAATTATTCATCTTATGACAATGTGCCTACAAAATTTGTGCATTCTGTTGATGTTGGGACTGCTGCTGAGTTGCTTGATATTGCTGAGAAAGTAAGATGGGATGAGTTTGATGATTGGTTGATTTGGTTTATCAAGAAAGCTAGGAATCATTAATGAAAATTTGGTTTTCTATTTTGGGTTAATTTATTTTCATGGTAAAGTTGAAATTTTTCTAAGGAGAGTGATGGGAAATGAGTTTTCTTTTTATGATTTTTTTTCCTGAAAAAAGTGGAAATTTTCCAAGGAAAGTTATTGAAAATAGGTTTTTTTTTTCATTGGACATCATATGATACATGTTTAGTGTGATCTTTTGCTATTTTCTTTTTTCCCTAGAAAAGTTATGGTGATAGAATTTTTGCTAATCTTAAGGAATTACATATATATATATATATTTGTTTAGATATATATTAACAATTGGGACATAACATTATAGTATAGGACAAAGTTTAAAACAATTAAAAAATAGTTAACAAAGGCTTCAATATGGGTGGAATTTTGTGTTAGATCTTTCTTTTGGAGTCTTACTATCTTAGGATACTTTGATGTCATCAAGGATGAATATTATTGTACTTATGCTTGGAAACTTAGGTATAGTTAGAGCATTTGAAGATCATGTATGTTCTCATCCTTAACATCATGGGGCTAAAACCAATGTTAAATTTGATGTCAGTGTTTAAATTTAGACCTAAATTTTAAAAGGACGTTGATTAAGAACAAAGGCTATTTTGGTTCTTTCCTTTTTATTGAATGTTTGTAATATGATAAAACTCTCTGGGTGGTTGATTTTTATTTTTCTTGCACAATATATTTGAACTTTTATGCAGGTTGGACCAGAAAATCTGTCTATTAAAGACCCTGACATATTTCCTAATTTCACTCTAGATTTTGGTTCTAAACTTCGTACGATATATATCAAATGCTTAAGTTAAACGTCTGATGCCTACATTCCCAAGCTATGGCCATTTTTTATAAATCTTTTTTATTTTCAATTGTGAGATATAACTATGTTACGATTCTTTTTGAGGATGGTACCTTTGCCTACTATTTTCAACGTTAGTAGTTAAACTTGGTGTTGTATTTATTTGTACAATTAAAAATGGTTTTGCTTTTGTAAAAGAGAGTTATTGACCTCCATTCAATTATGTGGGATCTTGTGAATTGGTAGTTAATAGAGATGTTATTTTTAAGTTGAACTAATATTACTTTATTCTAGGGATTTTCAAAAAACTACACAAAATTTCACAACTATTTTAGGAGAAGTATCATTTGGTCAGTCTATAAAGCCATAATGCTTACTGGTGGAGTAATAGATGTAAACGTACTTGCATCCAATTCTCATCAGGGGAGAAAGAGTTCCACATAGAGGTAAGTTGCAATAACCATGTAAGAAAGAGGTTTTCTAACAATTTTGGAATAAGCAGTTTCTAGTATGATTTTCATCTTAATGGTATTTGCCTTTGTTGATCTGACTATATGTAGGATTGGTATATATTAATTAAAATGTTAATGCTATATAAACGTATATTTGATCTTTGACTTTAATGTTTTGTGGATAATACATAAAATTATAATTTTATTAAATTTCTTGATTTGATTTAATTATTTGTCAATTTGTTTTTTAATTATTATCTCACTTTCATAGAACTTATTTTTAAAAGAACTTTAAAAGAATGTTAAGTTCAATAGGAGTGACCATTTTTAACCTTTTTTAATGCTACTTTGAAATTTTTTCTATTACTATTCCAAAGTTTATGCTATTATTATATTTTGTTTATTGCTTTAAACGTGTTTGAATAAATGTCAATGTGGAAGGACTGTATTAGAACCAACTTTTCTTGTCGATTTTTATACAAAAACAATGAAGAAAATGTTTTAATTACATAAAGTTGTATTGAAGGTGAATCTAGTGTAAGTGAAACTGACAAAAATAAAGGACAAAAAGTTTTAATTACTGAAAGTTGTATTGAAGGTGAATCCTGTGTAATTGAAGCTAGCAAAGACACATAAGAAATGTTTTAATTACAAAAAGGTGTGCAAGAGATGAATCTGGGTTATATAAACTTGACTTGAACCAAGAACTACATGAGGGCATGCTATTTGAATCTGTACGAGCTGCAAAAGCTTTCTATGATGAATATTCTAGATGGGTAGGATTTTTTACATGAATTATTTTGTTTCGTATATCTGAGCTTGATGGATCAATAATCCATCTTTGACTTGCATGTAACAAAGAAGGTTTTAATCAGAACATACAAAAGAGTACATGTGTTTAGATTTGAAAGTGAAAAAGCAAACGAGAAGGATACATGGCAAAGATGAACGTGAAAAGAGAGAAACCAGGGAGTTATGTCATTTCGACATTTGTTAAAGAGAATAATCATCCTCTATTAATAACCTCAAGAAAGGATTAATAATATTCTGTAAGTTTCCTTCATGTTGGTTTGAAAGAAATAGGCTAATGTTTCTTACTTTTCTACTTTTACTACTAAAAATGATACTTAATTATGACAAATGTTTCACAATGTGTGATTGTTATTTGTTACCCTTGCAATATACAAAGCTATAGTTAGTAATAGTTTATTTTTTGGATGGATTTATATATTTATTAAGCATGCAATTTTCTTAATGTTTAATTTAAATTGTCTATTTACTTAGAACTTTATAACATAATTTTATCAACTTGCAAAATTGTTAGTTTTCAAAACTTCATAATTTTTCCATGAAGTTGTAAAGCATAAATTATGATTACTTATCGCATAGCATTTAGTGTGGAGAGTAGAAACCAGTTTCCTCTACTTTACTCTCGAATATTCTTATCATTGTTTCTTTCTTCCATTAGTCATTGTTGACGTTATCAAAACTCTTGCAAGTCACTTCAACTTGAATAATTCTGCTACAAGTCACCAAGATTAAGGAGCCTTTTAAAGACAGCAATAGCAAGCAATCTAATTCCTTTTTAAGAGTTCTTCTCTTCCACTAAAACATTCAAATTCCATTTTTTAAAGATTAAATTTTTAATTTTTATTGGTTTTTTGTTTTTTAATTAAAAATGATTATTTGAATATGATTGGGTAATGATTATTTTGCAGGTAGAAGCTGACGAAATACCTGAGAAACTAAGGAACACTCTATTTCTGTTGTGCCTTGTCTTCTTTAAGGTAAACCTTTTTATGGGTATCTTTGTTTTTTATCCCAATCCTATAAATGGTAGGATTAAATTTGTTTTAAACAACTTTTAAAAAATAATTACATTTAAGAGTTTACTTTTTTTTTTTTGTATAATTTTTGAATAAGTAAGCTATTCTTGTTCTTTTGAATTTTGTTGAGTTTATACAGATAGAGATGAGTAGCCTTAGAGTTTGTGCTATAGTTTGGATTTATAATGGTTGAATAGAGGGTAAAAGGTGATTTCTTAAGGCTGCCGTAAATGTGGATTTTTTTTATTTTTATGCAGAGATTGTTATAGAAGACATGGAGAGTAATGACATATGCTTTAGATTTTTCATTCACGACTTTGAGGGTTTAAAATTTAATTGGTCTTTAGCTGAGTTTTTACTTTGTTGTTTTAATCACTGGTGACCAATTTTTCTCTTGAGATTCAAATAGAGGTGTTAACCAAAAGTTTTAAAAAAAGTTGCAAGTGATTATCGAATAGTTTAACATTTACCTTTGATTTTGAATCTTTTCAACAGCCAATTAACATCAAGGCACAAGATCCTGCCTTAACGATGCACTGATAAATCCTCCCTTTATGGATTTGATAAAAATGTCTTTTCCATTGTTTTTGAATTGTCAAATGGCAACAATTTTCTTCCTTTTCCCACGACCTAAATGCATGGCAACATGATATTAAGGACCACATTATTGGTTTCCTAAACTCAACTATGCATTAAAAGTTTGGTTTAAAAAAAAAAAATCTAAGTTACAACAAAATTAAAGTTTTCAAAAACTGTTGACAGCATGGTTTCCTTCTAAATGAATTGTAGTAAGCATTTTCTTTGATACTTCAGATGAAAGTATTATCGACAAAGGGTTCGACATTGGCAGATCTTCATTAGGCTCTTAAAGAGCACTTGCTTGTGCTTTTGGGATCAGTTACAGATGGTGAAACATATTATTAAATATCACACACCTTAAAATGTTTATATGCTTTTCAAGGCAAAGTCTAACACTAAGTTCCATTGTTATCATTTAGGGAACCAGCTACAATACAAAGTACAGTTTATTTGGGTAAATCAAGATAATAATGCTGAGGTCAAACTGTGAGTTTCAACTATTAAGGTCAACTCGCCTTTATTTGCTTTTGGTGTTTTATTTGGTTACTTTTCTCTTTGTGGAATATAGATTTAATTTGTTTTTGGCAGGAAACAACAACGTTTAATGCTTGATATGAAGTGTTGTCGTATTGCATTTGATGGCAATGTTATCATTATCACAAGCCAACTTATTGTTTCTTCCAGGGACTTCTGCTGATTATTATCAACTAAAAGTATCAAAAGGTAGGCGTTTATGAAGAAAGAGAAAAAATTTTCCAATGCTGATTATTCTCTGGCTGCTATTGCTTTTATTTTCATTCTTGAGCCTTCCTCTCTCCTTTGGTTTTAAAGTTTAAAAGACTAATTACTAGCAAATCTGTTTATCCTTTCTTATAAAATTATATTTTCACTCTTAACTTTGCTTTAACCATTTTTCCATGGATCGAAAGAGTGATGATTGACTGTTTCTCTTGATAAACAGAAAACAGGCAAGCTTCCATTGATATTTTCTTGAAGGCAAATGGATACCTGGATTGTGCTATCAGACATGTTCTCCCTCAGTTGCCATCTGAAATCAGGTGTGTAAAGATGAAATACTTGCAGTCAACTTTCTTTGATGTCTTTTCAATCAGTTTCTGGCTTTCCAAATTTAGTAATAATCTATTGATCTTAGATTGGAGCAGAAATTTGCCCGACAGAAGGAGTTTGTCGACCACTTTGTTTGCAAGCATTAGGAACTCATCTTGGACATAATTTATGTCTATTGTGGTTGCATTATAATTTTAATCTTTTGATAATCTACAGTCTAAGCTAATGAATCCCACGAAAAAAACATAGATACAACTTTTTTTATTATATATTTTTTTTAACATTTAAATTAATACATAATTGTATTTTATTCCCACAAGTAAAGCTGCGGGCTTGAAATCTAGTTATATAGAAACTTTTAACTGAATTTGATATCACAGATGACACAAATTTATTCTGTGAATCAACTAAGGTCTTATTTGGATTTAAAAACGACTCGGTGATGTGTGTTTAATGGTACAAATTGTCACTTTTTGATTTGGGTAACAATTTTGCAGCCTTCCATCACACTGCATCGTTAGTCTGGACCTTCATGGGCTCAGTGGAAAATTGTAAAGTTCAAATGCCAAAAAAAAAAATAATAATAATAAATAATCAATTTTGATCCTATTTTATTTTATTTTCTTCAACATTTGTCATTTGTTTGTCTGAATTCTAATTTTTTATTTAAAATTTTTTAAATGATTTTTTTGACAAGATAAAATTATTAATTATTATTAATTATTTATTAACAAAATTATTACTTGATATAAAATAATTTAATAAAATCGTAATTATTTATTAAATTTATAAATATCAAATAGTTTAAAATTTTTATATCATACAAATTTTAATATAATATCTTTAATAGTATTTTATATCAAAATATATATCCTATCATTAATTTCAATCTCACTATCACAATAACTAATTTTACCATTATAATAATTAATCTCATAATTCATTATTATTTTTAATTTTATCAAAATCAATTTTATCATTTATCTAAATGCATCTATAAAACCTCACCACGTAATGGGAAAACATAAATGAGGAGAACAATATATTAGTCTTTTACTTTCATTGAATAAATAATTTAAAATATTTTTTAAACCAATAATTGTGCCTGTTTTTTCTTTATTTCAAAATGATATGTTCATTTATTTATTTTTATATGTGATCTTCTCTCTTTCATGTTTTTAGGTATTTAGTCTTTTTTTCTCGTTTAATATTTATCTAAATAAAAAATTTGTTTATTACTTTACCACAGTTGATGTGCGAGAGACTAGTCGATATTGACTCAATAAAAAAATAAAAAATAAAAAAAAAAACTCATTCCATAATATTTGATCGGTCTAGTTGGGCGAAACAAGCTCATCCGTTTACTTGCCAATGCAAAAAGTTGATGTGGGCTTTTCGATTCAAACCCAAAAAGAGAGGTAAGCCCTGCTCTGCTCCAGGACACCGACTTATATAGGTGGCCCCGGTGATTATCGGCCAAGAACCGATGAAGATTGAAGATTAAGTCAATATCGTACTAAAAAATCACGTCAATAGCTGAGCTGGTACGTCCAGGTATATCCTATCGGGCCCATCACTGGCACGCACTTTCAGCTGTTTTCATCACCCAAACACGTCTCTCTGCTGCCGTGCGACGGCCTCATACCCCAATCCTCCGCAAAATTTATAGAATTAAAAATAAATACTACTAAAGGACGCCTCTCCCGTCGGCCCTCACTCACATTCTAAAAAATAAAATAAAATTAAGGTTCCTTTGTTTAACAACAGATTTTCATGGACTCGTCTACGCCAGTTCCTTCTTTACACTTGGCCTTGGCGGCGTTAGTCGGGGCCTCAGTAATGGCCATATCCGCTTTTTATATCCACAAACGCAGCGTTGACGACATCATCGATCGACTTATCGAGATCCGCCGCCAATACACGCCGCAGGGAAGGCGGCCTAGAAGTCGCGTCGTCTCGGATGAAGAAGAAGATGATGAAGAACAGGTGGACTACGAACAAGATAATAGTGGACGAGGTGTAGAAGAAGTGGATCAGTGTGAGAAAGGAGGCTGTCTCGAGCATAAAACGAGCGTGTCTAAATCATTTGACGAGATAATGGAGGTGTTGAGGAGTTCTCGCATTTCCTGTTCGATGCCTAACGTGGCTTTGCGTAATGAGTGGTTCGAGGAAGATGCTAAGTTTGACCAGGCGGTGAGGGAAAGAGTTGAAACTTGCTCTGCTTCGTCGCTTGAGAAGCTTAACTTTATTCCTTCGGGTCTTCCTCCTCTTCAGACTTCTCGGAGAGGTAGTTTCTTTGTTTTACGCCTATATTTTCTTTTTCATTGTTCTTGTGTTTTTTTCCCTTGTTGCCATTACTGTCGAAACAGTGTTTTGGGAAGATCGTGATGGACTTTGCAGTCAAATTTTGATGAAAAGTGGATCGATATTGATTTCATGGCAAGGTTAAATGCCACATTGCCAAAAAGGAGTTTAGAATAGTTTGTTAATAGTGAGGGCCGAACAAGGTTGAAAATTAGAGTTAATGGTGTAAACATTGCTTTCCTAAAATGTTTCTGATAGATGAAAACAAATAGATGGAAAGGAAAATCATATTAATTGATTAAAAATGAACAAACGAATAAAATGAAATATCTATGTAGGTTAATCATGCATTTTGTTATTAAAAATTACTTTTTTTTCTTTTTTAATTCTTTGAAAAGTTCATTTTCTTTTGTATCCAAATGTCTTTTTGTTCTTAGTTCTGAGAGCAAAAAGTAAATAGAAAAGTAACTACCAAATGTACTTTTAGGAATCAGTTCTCAGCTTGTTGCATATCCAGAATTTTGGAAAATGGTTCTTTATCTGAATTAATCAAGTAAGGTATTTGGAAATTTGCTGAATCGAGTTGCAATATATTTGACATTAAGTATGGTTTTCTTCTTTTCTTTGTTCAGCAGAAAGTCAGACTTTCAGTCACTGCAGTTCCACTACGAGGTTGGCTAGCTATGGTCGGCTAATGACTCCAAGGTCCCCTGGTGGCAATGCTTTTGAAAGTGCTGGGGATTCTGATGAGGAAGGGACAGAGCCTGCAGATGGGGATGAAATTCTTTTTGGCGACGAGAATATTGATATTTCTGCTGATTTGTTAAATGTGAGTGTGGTTCTAGTTCTGGTGTCTCCTTAAGTTTCAAGCAGATATCATTGCTTATAATACAATATGGCTTTCAAAAGTAGTTTCAACAACATTTGTTTTCAAGCACATAAGATTTGCTTTGTTGTTATGTTTAGGGGAGAGAAACTAAGGCTAATTGTTGAATTAATAATAATGCATCAAAAGCAACGGATATGTTGTTAATCTATTATTGGTGAATATACAGGATGCTGCGACAAAAGTTCAAAATTCAGTTGCTGTTCCGTTTAGAGGTGATGGTGTGAACTGTGCTCAAGATAATACTTATAAAGCTACTGAAAACAAAGCAGAATCTTTTGTTGATCTACATGACAAGGGAAAAGTGGATTCAGCTTCAGTGTGCATATTGGAGAATGAACCTGTTTTTGCAAAGACTACTTTGCCTCTCAAAAGCTCATTGCGTGGTATCTTAACTTCTCTAAATCTGAATACCTTTACTATGTATCTTTGTTGTAATTATTGCTTTCATATTTAACAAATCGGATTTCTTGATTGTCTTTTTTGTGTATTTCTGTCTTGGTTGTATTAACACATTTTACCTCTTTATTGATAGTGATTAATTAAGATTGACATGCCGAGTCAGAGTTAGTCTTCATTGCTTACTTAAAGTGTTTGAATATAAAGTTTCAAAGTTGATTGTTGTTCTGATTTTATGATCTCTATTTAGACTCAATAAATGTTGAAGAGGAAGAAGTGAGGAAGATGGTAAGGGAGTGTTTGGAATTGCGAGGCAATTATGTATACAGGGAGGAGATTGCTCCATGGTCAAAGGAACCTGTGACAGAACCCAGCGCCCCAAAGGCAACACGTGATCCATTTCAATTTGAACCTGTTGAAAAAACAGCAGTGAGTTTCATTTTTTTATTAATATTGCTTAGAAACAAAATTCAAACATTTTCTGTTGCACTTTCTGAAGCAACAGTGATCAAGTATTTTCTGTATTTTAAGCTTATTTGCTCCTTTGCATGCAGCATCACTTTAGGATGGAAGATGGAGTTATGCGTGTTTATGCAAGTGAAAGTGGTATGTACCATTTTTATATATTATATTGCTGTGTCAATAGTGAATCTGTTTTGATCAATTAAGTCTTTTTTCTAGAATCTGACAAGGTTATATTGAATCAGTTTTGCTCTGTCAAAATCTTATATACTGGTCGTATCTCCTTGAAAAAATAAGAGGTCCCAGGAATATATTTTTTTAGTGTATAGGTAAAGCGATTAGAGACAATAACATTGTGTAAAATGGGTAGTTCCTCTAACACTTAGGGCTAGTTTAGTACCACAATTGCGGTTGGAAAATGTTTGTGTTGAGAAAAGTGTGTTTAAAAAGTGTGGTAAGAAAATTGTGGTTAAAAATTTTAAGTGTTTGGTATTGCTATAAAAAAATACTATAAGTAATTGAAATGTAAAAAAAAAAATCATAAAATGATAAAATAATAAAAATATATGGATAATATAGTAATTTTCTATTCTAAACACATTTTTTCATCGCAAAAGACCTCTTGAGAAGTTTTTTAGTTTGCGTTGGCAAACCAGATTTTTAAATTGAAAAACCATATTTGTTTTTGTTGTTTAGCATGGATGTCACTTCAAAAGCAGTTTTTGAATGCAAAAACTATTTTAAACAATAATGCTAAACTAGGTCTTGATCTTTTGGAAATGGTACTATAATTTAGGATCTGTTTGTTTTATGAAAATTTACTTCTAAAAATGTTTTTGGAAAAATTTTCTATTATTTGGACAAGTTAATAAAAAATATTTTCTATTATTCGGTTATTTTTTGAAAATTGATTTTTTAAATAATATTAACATGGCTATTAAAATATTAAAAATTATTCATTATTAAAATATATTTAAATTATTAAATTAAAAAATTATTATATTTTAATAATATTTAATATTTAAATATTATATTAATATAAAAAGAACTTATACAAAATTAGTTATTATTTACATTAATATTTTAAAATGTGTAAAGTAGTATTACTATTATTAAAATATTATTTAATTAATATATTAATATTAAAAGTAGTAATATTTACTATTAAAATATTAAAAATGTTTACACCATTAAAATAGTTGTATTTTATATTGAGAGTATTTGTAATAAATCATAACAAAAATATTATTTATTTATATTTAGTATTAAAATGTTGATATAAATACATTAAAAATAAAATGTAAAATAATATATTTTAAATTGAAATATATTTAGAAATTATTAAAAATATTCATATTATGAAAATAATAATATTATTATATGATTAATTATTAATTATTAAAATAGTAAAATATTATTTAATATATTTTATTATTTATTGAAATAATAATATATTACTATTTATTATTGAAATATTAAAAATATTTATGTTTAATAATATACAAAATAGAAATATTTAAAATTAAGATACTAAAAGACTTTTAATGTTAATATTTTACTATTTTTAATTAAAATTAAATAAAAATATTTTTTATTAATATAATAATGTTTCAGGTTGTGTCAAATCAAACTCAAGCTTAAAATTATCATATTCAAGGTCTTACATAGTAAAACTATAAAATATCTAAATTTAAAATATTAAAATATTTTTAATATTAATATTTTAATTTTTAAGTAAAATTAATTAAAAATATTTTTTATCAATATAATAATATTTTAGGTGAAGTCAAATTAATTTTGAACTTAAAAAAGTCATATCCAAAGTCTAATTTGAGTAGAATTGTACTCACAGGCTTGGTAAGTAATTTGAGCTTGAAAAATGGGAAGACAAATTCCAGAAAAATGGCTTTATTTTCTAGACGTGATAATTCTTGTACTCGTGTCATGTAAAATACTGACAATTCATGTATTTGTATCATGTTTGACACAAAAATTACTTATTACAGTTAATGTCAACAAGAAAATATGAAATATATTTTTTTGATTTTGTTAAATCCATATATGGCTTTTGTTAAAATTTTAAACCGCATCACCTTTATGTCTTTTTGTGGTATCATTTTCATGTTATGTTATTGTATCATATTTTAAATTGTCAGATCTATTATTTTTTGTTTACTAGTAAGTAACTTTTCATTAACTAGCTAATTTTCTATTAAACAAATACCAAAAAATACAGAAATCATTTTCCAAGTAATTTTACTCTAAACAAATGGAGCCTTACTTCATCTATTGTTATATGCTTGATTGTTCACATTACTTTGGTTATTCACTATGATGAACTATAACAGTAAATCTGTCTATGAATTTTCATTCAGACACTATTGAGCTTTTTCCTGTTGCAAGTTCAACAACATTTTTCACTGATATGCATCATCTCCTAAAAGTCATGTCAATTGGAAATGTTCGTTCTGCTTGCCATCTCCGACTAAGATTTCTTGAAGAGGTAATGTTTTGAACTCCTTTAAATTGTGTTTTTTGTTTTTATCCACTTTGGTTTGTTTATTTATAACTTACAACTGGATGCTACACAGAAATTCCGCCTTTATCTGTTAGTAAATGCAGATAGGGAGTTTTTGGCTCAGAAGAGTGCACCGCACCGGGATTTCTACAATATCCGGAAGGTTGATACACATGTGCATCATTCTGCTTGCATGAACCAGAAACATCTGCTACGCTTCATCAAATCAAAACTACGAAAAGAACCTGATGAGGTTGTTTTGAAATCCTTTGATTTGTTCATTTCAGCATCATGCATTTTTTGTTTTTGTACTTATATAAAATGAATCATAATAAGCACAATCCTACATGAAAATGTGCAGGTTGTTATATTTAGGGATGGAAAGCATATGACATTGAAAGAGGTTTTTGAGAGTTTGGACTTGACTGGGTAGGCAAAACCATTCTCTTCTATGTTTCAGAAAATAGTGCTTGGGTTTATTGTAACATATGCTTCATCTGTCCTATACTTCAGATATGATCTCAATGTTGATTTGTTGGATGTCCATGCTGATAAGAGCACCTTTCATCGATTTGACAAATTCAATCTTAAATATAATCCATGTGGGCAAAGCAGACTTAGAGAGATCTTCTTAAAGCAGGACAATCTTATCCAAGGTTTGACAAATAAGTCATCACAAAGCGAACTTAATTTTATTTTTTCATTGTGTCTGGTCTGGCAGCTTTATTTTTTTCATTTATTGATTTCTGATATAATCACTCTTTTTTGATAAATTTTCCCCATTTAATTCTCAATTTGTATTTTGAATTCATATTTATATCAAGGTCATAACTCTATTTTATTAGTAATATAATTTTGGCAAAATTGACATATTTAGTGGTGCTGACTGTTTTAATTAGCACTTTGTAGGTTGTAACTCTCTTTTTTTTTTTTTTGGATATTCCCGTTAATCTATTTTATTAATATAAATTTGGCAAAGGTTGACAAATTTAGTGGTGCTGACTGTTTAATTGAATATCACAGGACGTTTTTTGGCAGAAGTTACGAAGCAAGTTCTATCAGACCTTGAAGCAAGCAAATACCAGGTTGATGTTGATAGATAAATAAATTAAGCCCAGATCAGTCGTAATACTGCTTTAATCAATTACTGTGCACCCTCCTTTTCAGTTTATCACAAATACCTATATTAATTAAACTCATACTCTAGTACATAATTATTTTAGTCTTCAAGATTATTTATTAAAAGACTTTCTCTAAATGTCTGGATGCTATTTGGAGTTTAGGTCCTTGATTTAATCTTGTGTCTGTTGCTGCTGGATGGCCTTAGGCATTCAGCATTCTAGGCATTCGGTCTAGTTAGTATTTTAAATTATGATAGATCTGAAACTTTGATATCGTTATGCAATGTGGGTTTTCACCTTGTAAAATCTAATGCAGCAGCAGGGCTAACCCCAGCCTTAAAGATTTATTTACTAAATTATTTTGCGGCAGCCTAAGAATTGTTGTCATTATTTCTACTAATTGCCCTTAGTTTCAAATGCCTTTCTTTGATTGCCATATTCCCGCTAACTTTATCTAAGTAAATATATCTATTCTTTTCCAGATGGCAGAGTACAGGGTATCCATATATGGAAGGAAACAAAGTGAATGGGACCAGCTGGCAAGTTGGTTTATTAACAATGAAATTTATAGTGAAAATGCCATTTGGTTAATCCAGGTATAATGCCAATAACCTTGTACTATTATTCTTGTATCTTGCAATTTCTCCCACTATCTAGCCATTGCAGTAAGATTATTTTTTCTTTTCATCTGTTTCAACTTGTTTATTTAGGTATTACTTAACTTCTGGTTTCCTTGGATCCTATCTTGTTTGAACATGTTTATTTAAGTATTACCTCCGAACAGCTTGGCGAAATATCTAAAAATTGGGATGTGGTAACTCTACTGAAAAGTATTTCAAGGCATGCACAAGCTAATTACATTTTAGAAATTAAAATTAAGATTGGTTGGTGTGGTATAATGTCTATATCAAGCGTCATCTTTCTCAATAACTGCCAATGCTTCCTCTCCCTCTCTCTCTCTCTCTCTCTCTCTCTCTCTCTCTCTGTGTGCCATTATTTTCTTAAGACATAGGTAACTTGCTTCACATGATTTTGACTTAATTGCAGCTACCACGATTGTATAACGTGTACAAGCAAATGGGAATTGTAAAATCCTTTCAGAATATTCTGGACAATGTTTTCTTTCCACTATTTGAAGTTACAGTTGATCCAAACTCTCATCCTCAACTACATGTGTTCCTAATGATGGTGAGTTTTATGTTCTGTCAAGAACATACCATGCAATAATCAGAGATTTCATGGTTGTTGGAAATACAGTTCAAACATGCTTCTTTATTGAAGTGACCTGCATTATAACTGTTTGGCTAAATGGTGCCTTAACTTTAGTCATTGTGTTCACCTCATAATTCTATTTAATTATTCAAAAGCTATTTTAAGCCTTAATGTATGGTAAATTTTTTGGTCGCTGCTTCATATTGAACATGGGCACATCCATGCAATTTTAGATGATTTTGCTTATTGAGCTGACAGTTTTGTTTACTCATCTTCCCCAATTGTCATAATAATCAGTTTTTTAGGAAAAAATTTGAAATCAGCTTTTACTAGGGATGCCACAATGAAAATGCTAATATGTCTCTTAGTACAGGTTGTTGGTTTTGATTTAGTTGATGATGAAAGTAAACCAGAGAGGCGTCCTACTAAGCACATGCCAAATCCAGCTGAATGGACCAATGAATTTAATCCTGCATATTCTTATTATGCTTATTACTTCTATGCAAACCTGTATACGCTTAACAAGGTTCGTGTCATGTTCTAATCTTATCATAGCTATGTTATATACCAATCTTTCTCTTTATTCAGCAATTGGGCTTTTGGTTATTGTTGTTAAGGAGAGACATAGTTAGCTTTTAGCTTTATAATTTCTATTTAGTGATCATTGCCTGATTCAGTAATATATGGAACAAAATTAGGTAATGAAAGTAATTGTTGAACTGAAGTTTTGACTATAAAGGTTTATCAGAATAAGGATATGGGGGAGTGGAACATCGTGTCATCCCCACAATACTCAAACTAAAAGCGGGGTGGGGTGGTGGGGGCAGAGTGGATGGCTTAAAGAGGAAGATTATTTACACTGGATCATATTGTTATTAATATTACGTAGAAATTATTTCACAAATTTTCTATTTTTCTTTTTCAGCTACGTGAGTCAAAAGGATTGCCAACAATAAAACTTCGACCTCATTGTGGGGAGGTAAACTCTCTCTCTCTCTCTCTCTCTCTCTCAATGTTTCTGTAGTTATTTAAATGCTTATGATATTTTTCAAATTCATGCAGGCTGGTGATATTGACCATTTAGCTGCTGCTTTCCTTCTGTGCAACAATATATCTCATGGGGTTAATCTCCGGAAATCCCCTGTTTTGCAGTACTTGTATTACCTTGCTCAGGTTGGTTTGCATGATTTTTTATAACCGAGTTCCTTTCAAGCTGTTTGTTTATATTTTATATTGTAAAATAGGGTATGAAAAATGGCATGTGTATGGGCAGTGTTTCAGTTGTATTATATGCTTATACAAGAACCAACAAGGCAGGGATATTATCACTGTAGATCTTGTTTCCATCTGTTGGAATATGTAGAATATTTATCTGCAGCCCCTGTATTATTCAGCATAAACAGTTTATGAGTGACTTTTGGAATGGCATTTCACCTTTAAAATAATAAAATTGATTCAATTACTATTGTTTATCACCTTGCTGTTCTTCTATCAGATTGGATTGGCCATGTCTCCTCTGAGCAATAATTCCCTTTTCCTAGACTATCATCGCAACCCATTTCCTGCATTCTTTCAGCGTGGGCTAAATGTTTCACTTTCATCTGATGATCCATTGCAAATTCATTTGACAAAGGAACCTCTTGTCGAAGAGTACAGTGTTGCAGCTCAGGTTTGTTAGTTGCTTTTGACATTTTCCTGGTATTATATCTGCTATACTGTAGAAAACTGAAAAACCTGTTTGTTTTTTTTTTTTTTTGAATATTTCTGAAGCTATCTTAATGCCAAAGGTAGCTGTTAATCAAACTTATTAACCTTTCCCTCAACACTAAAACTGTCTACAGGAACAAGTAAATGAAAAAGAGACATAATGCTTGACGTCTGTATCATCATTTTAAATCAGTACTTTGCAGGTTTGGAAGCTCAGTGCTTGTGACTTATGTGAGATTGCTAGAAATTCTGTATACCAGTCTGGATTTTCACATATGGCAAAGGTGAGATATCCATAACTCTGATTTTCTTAGCTTTTCTCCGTCATTTAAATTTTCTTTTGAAGTGTGGAAACAACTAGCTGAATTCCCTCCTTCAAGTATGGTACAAAGCAAAATTTCCCATTCTGTCTTTTTACATGAACATTCCCTTCCAGTGAAGTGTTCTCTATTGGGGGGTACCCTTTCATGTATTCTCTACACAAACACTTTATTGAAAGGGAATGTTCAATTAGAAACCTTATTGCCCATTTGAAGTCTAATCTCACGTAAGGTTGCAGATACAAAAAGGAAATATGCTTCTCTTATCTCATCAACTGCTTATAGGTAGATGGGGATTATTGTTTTGCTTTATAAGGACCTATCAAATACGTAGACCAAAAAAGGCAACTATTTTAATATCTAAATGAGGAAAAATTACTCCTATTTAGGTAACTTACATGACAAATAAAGGAAGGAGAGGAAAAAGTTGCTTATATTTTAAATGACCGGCATAGACTCAATTTGTTTTATTTTCAATTCTTGCATCTCCAACATCATCGGGCATGTTCATTGCTTCAATGCCTAAACCCTATCTAAAAATCTATTAAGGTTTTAAAAGTAAGGTCAAAAAAATTGTCTAGAGTTGAAAATCTAGTTTGCTTGAGAACCTAAAATATTTTGTTACATTTTTTGGGGAAATTCATGATGTGGATTTGAAAAATGTAGTATAACATTTGGCTGGAATTTGGGATATGCCAATTCACACCTTGGGAAGGTTTTCAGACATTGACTTTCTTTTGTAGTCTTCTTCCTAATCATAACAGCTTTTGATCTTTCAACACATTGGCTTTTTTGCATGGTAAATTTATGAAATGAGCCTATGGTAAACACAAGCTAATTCAGTGGGGTAATTTGATCCCATTGGCATTTTAGAAGTGTTCAAATTATGCTTATTATTTTGGAAAAAAATTTTAAATTGATTTCATTGACTTGAAAATATTGGGGGTCAATATCTAATATTAAGAGTTGCAAGGGATCATTATGGAAATCTCAAAATTTAAAACTTTCACAAGCTCCCTGTCACGAGTTAAGCTTTCTCTCAATTAAGCAATAAATCGTGTGGCACTTGGATGGACGCTTCCACACAAGTCAGCCAAGAATAGTTCGATATCTGAACAGGCAACCAACAAGCCATAAGTTAATCTCAAGTGTACACAACTATATATATCGAGGCAAAATGGGAGCACACCAAGATGACACTCGGAGTTCCCATATAAAAAGAAATATTTTATTAATATCGAGAATAATACGAGTCTTTCCACCATCATCGAGGCCAAAAGGGTAGCCGTAGATGGGTGGTCTAGCACATACCTTAGCTAGTGAGGGAGCCCAACAATATGTCGACTACTCACCCCTTTTAAAGAGCAAATGAGATTTTATAGCTATACTACCAATAACCATTACAGTGTTTGAAATGAGAACATTTTTTTCTAGTACATGAGATCTACCCTCCCCTTTGGCACCTCTACCCAATCATGGCCCTATACATGGATGGCTCATGACAACTTATGCTCGGTCATGGCCCTATACAAGATTGACTCATGACATCTTCCTTCACTTATTCTATCGATGTCTTCGTCGACTTGCTAGCCTGGAATTCTTCGATCTTCCGCTTGAATGCTCGGAGGTCATGATCTCTTTCTTAGTTGGTTTCTTTTGATCCTAAGCCCTCCCACTTCACTAAGTATTTATGAACTATTCTTCGAGATACCTTGTCAGCTAAAATCTCTTTAACTTAACGTTCTAATGGTGGCTTCATGGAGATGGCAACCCTGATTGACTCTTTGTGGCTTGCATCTGTGGGATCTGTATGGAAAGGCTTTAAGTTGCTCACATGAAACATTGGATGCAATTTTATCCATTTTGGCGGGTTGATTTTGTAAGAGGCATTCCGCATTTTGGAACGGATCTTCATTGGACCTTTATATTTACACACCAATCTGCAGTCCCGCTTTCTTAGGAACTTGGTTTGCTCGGGCACTAGTTTGACAAAAACAAGATCACCAACATTGAATTGTTGTACTCTACAATCCTTATCTGTTCATTTCTTCATGCATTTCGATGCCTTCTCCAAATATGCTTGTGCAATCTCTGTATTTTGTCTCCGTTCTTTGCTAAGGTTGAAGGCTCGTGAATTCTTTCCTCTATAAGGCACAAGGGAAGTATGCGGTAGTCTTGGTAGTTATCCAGTGACCACTTCAAACGGACTCTTGTTTGTGGGAGAACACTTATTGGAATTAAAACAGAGCTGAGCAACATTTAATAATGAAGGTCAATTCTTCTGATTAGCTTGAATAAAGTGTCTTAAGTACTCCAACAACCCATTGAATCGTTCAGTTTGATCATCGGTTTGCGGGTGATAGCTTGAAGAGATGTTGAGTTGAGACCCCAATATCTTGAAAAGTTATCTCCAGAATGACCTAGTGAATCTTGGATCCTTGTCACTGACAATGTTTTGAGGAAGGCCCCAATAATTGATTACATGTTTAAACATTAGCCAAGCTGTATCTTCCGTAGTGCAATACTTTTGGGTGGAAATGAATGTGACATACTTCGAGAAACAATCAATCACCACCAGAATAGACCCAAGATCACCAACTTTAGGGAAGCCTAATATGAAGTCAAGGGAGATATTTTCCCAATGTCTTGTGAGTACAAGTAGTGGTTCAAGCAAGCCTGTCGGTTTCTTCTTTTCAACTTTATCTTACTAGCAAATAAGGTAAGTCTTTGTATAGTCCATCACATCTTGCCACATATGAGGCCAATAATAGCCTTGTTTCAATAGTGCCAAAGTACATTGCCAACATGGGTGCCTCGCCCATGGGGTGTCATGACATTCTTTCATTAGCATCTATATCAGACCTCTTGCTTTCGGCACAAACAATCGAGGGCCCTTTGTCAACAAGACCTCATTTTTCTACCAAAAGTACTTGGACTTCCCTTCTTCTACTAACTTCAGGATGGCACCAGCCTGTAGCTCTTGCCTCAAATTATCTTCAATTAGCTTGCGAATGTCTGTTGTGACTTTACTAGCCGCCATTGGGGCAATTCTCTTAAGGGCAGCCAACTCTGCTCGTCTACTCAATGCATCTATTGCTTGATTGGTTCTTTCAGCGGTGTGCCCAAAACAAAATTCAAATTCAGCTAGGAATTCCTACCATCTAGCTGGCTTGGCCATGAACCTCGGTTGGGTGAGGAAATGACTGAATGTCGCATTGTCCGTCTTCACGATGAAGTGTGAATTGAACAAATAATGCCGTCAAGTCCTCAAACAATGAATTACTGCTAGGAGTTTTTTCTGTTGACCCGTATATCTCCTTTCGACTTCACTCAACTTTTTACTTTCAAATGCTATCGAGTGCCGTCCTTGTAAAAGAACTTCCCCAATAGCAAAGTCAAATGCATTTATTTGAACTTCAAAAGGCTTTTCGATATTGGGGAGAGCCAAGACAGGGTCCTTCATAATAGCTTCCTTCAATCCCTCAAAAGCCTCTTGGCATTCACTTGTCCAACACTATTTATGCTCTTTTTTCAATAGCTCTGTAAGGGCAGTGGTTCTACGAGAGTATCCTTCTACAAATCTCCTATGATAATTGGCCAATCCCAAAAATGAGCGGAGTTCATTGACATTCTTTGGTGTTGCCCATTATTTGATAGGCCTAACTTTTTTCATGTCCATTCGAATGTGGCCTTGTTCAACAATGTGGCCTAAGAAGTGAATTCGTGTTTGAGCAAATGCACATTTCTCCTTCTTAACATACAACTAGTTGTCTTGTAATCTTTGAAACACAAGATGCAAGTGTTCTTGGTGCTCTTCCAAGGTAGAACTATACACAACTACGTCATCTAAATAAATGACCACAAACTTGTCAAGATAGTCATGGAACACCTGATTCATCAAGGTACAAACGTAGCAAGGGCATTAGTCAATCTAAAAAGCATAACAAGAAATTCAAATGCACTATATCACATGACACAAGTGGTTTTTGGCTCATCTCCTTCAACAACTCTGACTTGATGATAGCCAAATCTTAAGTCCAATTTGGAGAAGTACTTGGCCTCGCTCAGTTGATCAAATAATTTTGCAATAAGGGGAATAGGATATTTGTTTTTCAAGGTGACTTTGTTCAGGGCCCTATAGTCCACACATTCGTAAACTTCCATCATGCTTTCTTTGAAATAACACGGGTGCCCCAATGGGTGCCTTCGATGGTTTGATGAACCCAGCTTGTAAAAGCGCATCTAACTTTTTTCTCAATTCAACCAACTCCAACGGAGCTATGCGATATTGGGCTCTAGCTAGTGGTTTGAATCCTGGGAGAAGCTCAATCTCATGTTCCACCGATCTTCGAGGAGGTAAGACCTTAGGCAATTGCTCCAAATCACATTCCAAAACTCTTACAACACCTTTTTCACCCCATCGGGTATCGATTCCAACTTAATCCCTTCTTGTAAATCCACATGGCCACATAGGAGGGCTTCCTTCTCTTTACCTTTTTCTTGAATTGTAATGTTGAAATCATTTTCTTCCCACTCTTAGGAAGGATCGTGGCCGGCACAACACACGGGTGTTCCCCTAAGAACAATAGGCAACTAGTGGTGGGGATTGGGATCAGTTGAGCCAACATCATGAAGTCCAATCCGAGGACAAAATCACAAGGGGAAACCGTGAAGTCTATCTTTCCTTCCCATGGCCCCAACTTGGTCATCACACTCTTAGAGCTTCCACTGATAGCAAAGGCTGGTGAATTAACTGTTTTCATTTGCCCACAGTCCTTAATAACCTTGAGACAACACCTCTTTGCTTCCTCTGGTGTGATGAAGGTATCGGTTGCACCCATATCTACTATGGCCCTTATGGTCTTCCCATTGAGTACTAGATCCACATACATCAAACCTTTACCAGGTTCTTTCTTTTTCATGTTGAGTTGGGTACGTAAGGTATTAAGGAATCGTATTAAGCCAACCCTAGCTAGCTCTTCTTCAACTTCTTCGATGGCTTCGGGTACTTTCATGGACTTTTGAGACAAAGCTCTCAGAGCATTAAGGGCACCTTTATGTGGGCATTCAGCCACTTGATGCAGCCCCTTGCATAGGAAGCAAACTAGCGATTGCTTCGGCTTGAAATTTATTGCATTGTTGCCTTAGGTTGGGTATTGTCTCGACCAAAGGGCCTCCTATTTGATCCCCCACTGAAGGGTTGGTCCACTTCGGTCATCTTTCCCCCACTCTCAAAGTTGGAGTTACTGCGACTTGATGGAAGATTTTGTTCATTTCGAGGAGCCATCATTATAATCATGAAGACATTCGGCAGCAACCATGGCTATGGCCGCATCTTGCACCTTCTGTCTTTGTAATTTTGTCCTAGCCCAAGGTTTGAGGCCCTCAAAGAAATAGAACATCTTGTCCTTTTCGGACATGTTTCTAATATCCAACATCAGGGTAGAAAAACTTCTTACAAACTCTTGCACTGTGCCCGTTTGCACCAATTCTCAAAGCTTCTTTTGTGCTATATACTCTACATTCTCAGGGAAGAATTGGTTTTTCAATTCTTGTTTAAGATCCACCCAAGTTATAATAGGGCATTCATCATTTACAAATTTTGAACACCACCACAGCTTAGCATCCTCGGCAAGGTACATTAATGCCATTGCAACCTTATCCTCCTTTAATTCAGTGTGCACAGCTCGAAAGTATTGTTCCATATCAAACAGGAAGTTTTCAAGCTCTTTGGCATCTCTTGCCTTCTTATAACATCGAGGGTCCAACCCCTTGGCCCTTTTCCCTTTCTTCATCGAGCTAGAACTCGACCCGGCCACAACCATCTATAAAATGCTCACTTGGGCTTTGAGCTCCTCAAACTCTTTCTGGAGGACATTCAAGGCATCTTTAGTTTCCTCACCCAAGCTATGTAGAGTATCGAACAACTTCGTTGGGTTGTCTTGATCTCCTTCAGTTGATCATTAGTTATCACATAAGCTTTTAGGGCGGCCACCGGGGCCTCAAGCTCCTCAATCCTCTGTTGGTTGCTAAATCCACCACTCGTAGCCATTTTATCAATTCTCTAGCACTTTTCAACCATACTCTGATACCACGTGTCACAGGCTAAGTTTTCTCTCAATGAAGCAATAGATAGTGTGGCACTTGGATGGACACTTCCACACAAGTCAGCCAAGAATAATTCGATATCTGAATAGGCAACCAACAAGCCACAAGTTAATCTCAAGCATACACAACTACATATATCGAGGCTAAATGGGAGCACACCAAGGCGACACTTGGAGTTCCCGTATAAAAAGAAATATTTTGTTAATATTGAGAATAGTACAACGAGTCTTTCCACCGTCGTCGAGGCCAGAGGGGCAGCCCTAGATGGGTGGTCTAGCATATACCTTAGCCAATGAGGCAGCGCAACAATACGTCGACTGGTCACCTCCTTTAAAGAGCAAATGAGATTTTATAGCTATAGTATAAATAACCATTGCAATGCTTGAAATGGGGACACTTTTTCCTAGCACATGAGATCTACCCTCCCCCTTGGCACCTTTACCTAGTCATAGCCCTATACATGAGTGGTTCATGATAACCTATGCCTACTCATGGCCCTATACAAGGTTGGCTCATGACACTGCCTCAAAACAACCTCCCTTTGGCACTATTAAAAAATGAATAAAATAAACAGATTCAGAGAAAAACAATCAATTGAACAGAAACCCAAAAGAATAGTAGAACACTCACTTCCACAACCCCAAAGCTAAAAGCTAGCACTACCACAGTTGCTACCTCTTCAATCCCCACTCCGAACAATGTTCTTGAAAACACCTGTTATACTTCTTCTAAACCACCATCCCAACTTATGATTTCTTCAGCACCAAATATCTTTCCCACCCTATTCCAGTAAATGGCACAAGAAAATCTCAGTTTTCAATTGAGAATATCTTCCTTACCAGGGATGAATCATATTCAGACTCTGATAAAGTATTTTCTGATGATATTGTTGAGATACTCACAAATCTTCATGATAAAACTAATAGTTGAAGTTTCAGATGACAATCCAAAAGTTCATAACTTAGAACCTATAGACGGTGACCAACAAATTCCTCTTTCTCAGTCCTATAGTTTCTCATCATCATTTAGATTCTCAGTCTTCATAATTGATGGCACTCGTCCATCCAAATGGCAAGCATAGTTAGTAGATAATTGGCCCATCACATGGCTTGGCTCTGGTCTATGAAAGGAAATTTTGTTTTTGCTTTTGTTTATTTTTCAAACCGAGACAATGGTATAGCTTGTCTCTTGTACTTACCTCATCAATCTAAAATAAAATAAACATAAAAAACTTATGATATTTTCCATGTTATCAGCTTGTTAAGAAAGTTGTAATATAACAAAAACTAAAGAAGAGAAAAAGAAAGCAGAAGAGAAACGCAAGAGAAATGGAAAAAAAAATTGTTTCTTATAATCCTCAAACGATAAAGAAGAAAATGCCTAGTCAATAAAGATAAAGTTGTGAAGATTTTTTTTTTGTGCATTTAAATAAAGTCAAAGGGGAGAAAGAATTTTACATTTGAAGTGTATGTATAAAGTTTTCAAACTCTAATTAGAATGTTGGATTTTTCTGTTATCATTATTTAAGTTTTATTTGTGGTAGTAGATTGATATAATTCAAAAAATAAATAAATAATTAAAGCAAATAAATTTGACTAAAAAATTAAAGATCTTGACTATACTTAACAATATTCAAAGAAAATTCATATTGAAATTGACTGAAATTATTTACCCATGGATCCAAGATAAGTTTATTCAAATTAGAATACATGATTCCTTCACTGGCTGCAGTTGCATTGGCTTGGTAACAAATATTTCCTAAGAGGGCCAGAAGGGAATGACATTCAGAAGACAAATGTTCCAAATATGAGGATTTCCTTTCGACATGAGGTAAATATACATTATTTCTCTTATACTTAATACGAAAAAGTAGGTGCATCTCCTGTGGTGGCTAATGTTTTAGATTTGGCAGACATGGAAGGATGAGATGCAGTATGTTTACTCAGGAAGAGCAAGAATACCAAAAGATATAGATCCTGCTATGTAATTAATCTCATACATACGTCAGCAGTGAAGCAAACTTCCAAAGCGTTGGGATGATGTCAAGATTCCAAGACAAATGAGTTCATAACCACTCATCACATCATTTGAAGCCAGATATGATAAGAATCCTTGAAGCTTTATTGAGGTTCCAAATTTTTGCTGAGCAGAACGGGCTTTTGGCTGTGTGTTAGGTATTGAGAAAATTGGTGTTGCTTACAATTGCAAAGCCTTCCTGCTGACGAACTGGCGATCATAATTTTTATAAATTAAGATACTAGTGAATTAAAAAGTTGTATGACTCGCTGTTTTTGCTTGTAGGTATCAAGTGAGATGATTCTTTGAGATGGTTTTATACAAACTGCGCCAAAAGTGAATAAAGTCGCTGGCATCAATTGCATGACCGATCAATCTTGTTTTATTAATTGTTTGTGTGGTTGTGCGTGTTTGCGTGTTTTTTTTTTTTTTGGGGGGGGGGGGGGGCGGGGGGAAATCATCAAATGACATCTTTAACCAGTTTTAGGCTTAGCAGCTTTGATATTAAAGAAAATATGTGCCACTTCTAAATGTCGTCTTCACTGAATTTTCCTATTCTTTTCCCTTAATCAATAGTGATTGTAGCCTCTTTTTTGTTTTTTTTTTTTCTTTTGTCCCTCTTAATCCATTAAATTAACAAGCCAGTAGTATTGATTGCGACGAAAAATAAAATGCTTGACAAGTGGATGAAAGAAGGAAAAAAATATTGAAATAGCCTTGAGTGGGGTAAGTTCGTAACTCCAAACGTCGAAGTGGGTGTGCATTTGCACACTTTCTGTAGGTCTCAGTAACTCGATTAATAAAAGCAGAGCAAAGCAAAACCCCAAAAGATAAACCCGCATAAATAATACCTCCCTTTCGAAAACAAAAATCCTCCATCGCCCCGCTCCTTCTCCCCCCAAGACCGTTCTCCTCCTCCACCACCTCCCCGGTGGTGCTCTCTCCTAGCTCTTATCATCCACCACTACCAACGTCAACTAAAACCCCCCAAATGGCGGCAGTCGCTGCAGCAAGTGTTTTCTCCGACGCAGCAACTAGTACTTCTTCTGACGGCCCCGTCCTTAGCCTCATCAACAAACGCCTCCGTGCCCTACGCAAGAAATACAACCGTATCCTACTTATGGAAGAATCCGTCTCCCAAGGCAAACCCTTAAACAAAGAACAAGAAGAAGTCCTCCGTTCCAAGCCTGCTGTCTCTGCCCTTATCGATGAACTCGAGAAGCTACGCCAGCCTCTCTCTTTAGCCGTCTCCGAAGAAATCTCACTAGCATTACAGCGTCAAACCATTTCACGGGAAGAAACAACCTCAGAAGCCCAACGAGACAAGACTGAAGTCCAAGAACAACAGCCCAATGACCCAGATCATGCTGTTGAGGATCTACTCAATCTGCTCTATTTTGGGTCCTTGTTCGATGTCAAGTCTCAAAATGGTTTCACTTCGGCCATGTTGACTGGGACTCATGAGAGGAGTTGTTGCTTGACTTACGATTACGTGACCGATGACGCTACCGATCTGCTTAGCGAGAAAGATTTGGATTTGATTTCGATGCTGAGTGGACTGTTGACTTCACGACCTGCTGATTCCAGTTTGTCTCACAAGAACGCTTTACACCGCTGCATCCACCATGCTAAGCTTTGGCTTTCTAACTCTGACGAGCCCATTGACCCCAATGTCGACGTTTCCTGTAATAATTCGCTCTAATTATTTCGTTGGGTTTTTATTTATTTACTTATTGTTAAATTTCTGGGTTTTCCGACTCGGGATTTTTTATTTTTTGTTGCAGATTCTGGGTTGAGAGAGAGGCTTAACAAGATTATGGCTTTGGATTATTTTACAACCTCTCCGGAGATGAAGGCTCCCGTTGAAGTGGCGGCTGCTGCTGCTGCTGCTGCTGGGACTTATACCTCTTTTCAGGTTACAGTGCACGGTGTGCCCATTTCTATTCCTGTTCAGGTGGAAGATTCAGTCGGGCAGTACCGGCAGAAGGTATTAACTATGTTTTAGTTTAACAAAAGGGGAGTGGGCAGTTTGGTTATTGGATTTACTGAAATGATTTAATATAAAAATTTTGGCCTCCCTTTTGTTTCAATACTTTTACCATTACTGAATGATTGTTAATTTGTTTTGTTTGATCCAATACGTTGAGGTCTTGGTTTTCAGCTATATCATGGCCTAGAGAGGAGGGAAAAAGAAATAAGAGAATTCTCAAAGTTTCTTTTTATAAGTTAATGTAATAATAACATTGAAGAAACGAATTTTTACATTTCAGTCTAATTATGCTAGCAACCCACTAAATCATTTGTTTATTTCTGTATGTTGTTAAGTCATGGTTACTGCTTTGGCATGAGAGAATTTAAGGAGATTCATCTGTACGTATTATAGTAATATGACTATGCTATGTAGGATTTTCTAATGGTCTGTCATTGTAGCTATTTGTTATTTCTGTCAATTTTTATCTGTCCCTTTATCTGTAGCTTGCAAATGCAAATTGGACTGTATCTATATTCCAGTATGCCCAAATTTTTTTTAAACACAATAACAACTTTAGAAATTGACTTTATGCATTAAAATTTGAAACTACATTAGAAAGAAAATTTTTTACCTGTGTGCTATAGCAGATACAAGTTGTTGAACAGTGAATGTTCATGTTTTCCGTACTTGAGAAAGAAAATTTTGTACCTGTGTGTTATAGCAGATGCAAGTTGTTGAAACAGTTAATGATTATGTATTGGTGAATATCATTGGTAATTTGGTGGTCTGAAACAGCAGAAATGAGAATTTCTAGCTGTGGTAGCAAATCCACCTCATATAACGTCCTCCCTTTTGCTTGGAAGGGAAGGAGTTGTTTAAGCAAGGTTTTTGGTATTGTTAATGATCAAACTTGATGTAAGACAGCTAGATAGGAACTATTTGGAGATTGAGGTACAGGGTTAAGTAAAATCAAATACAATAGGAAATTATGGGTGTCAAATAGGATTTTTAAAGGGTTGGTATAGAAGACTGGATGAATTATTTTAAATTCTTGTTAGGTGTATTTTCTTGTTGGGCATGTGTTGTGAAGAGCTGCATTGTAACTCTTGATAAAAGGTCTGATGTAATGACCAATTGGTGCATGTTAAGATGGGATTATAAGAAGGGTTTATGTTTATGGGGGTGACTCAAAGTTAATTAATTTTCTGTACCCTGGATTTTGAGATCTTAGTGCTGAGACTTAGTTAAATAGGAGCAAGAGTGTTGGGTGGTTCTAGACGTTATTTATTGATTCCTTGGACATGATATCTAAGATTGAGCAAGTTAACAACCATGCAGACCTAATTGCTAAAGCACTTGTCAAATAGTTTTTATTATTCGAAAGAACCTGCATAGATATTCATAGAGTTATAGGATCCTACTTCCTCGTTCCGAAGCTGACTTTGAATCAGTTCTAATGTATGCATAAAAGCTTACACTCAAAGGATATGATGATAAGAAAGATTTTCTACTCGTGGATTATTCAACACTGATTAAATCTCTGGATTTTGGCTCCATGCAAATGCCTTTGAGAATCAATTTTGTCTTGCTAGTTTTCCATTGGCTTCTTCACACCTGTCTATATGTCCTATTTGGGGTTTGACAGAGGTTGCCCCCAATTCCCTTGTTTATTATGCTGTTTTACATCATGCATGTGTTGCATTTGAAAATTGATTCTCTAGCATAAAGCCTTTGGACCAATTGGCCTATTTGGCTGTTGTTTATTGTGGTATAAGGATTTGTAGCAGCAATTATATCATTGGTGTTGTGTTCACTTCAGTTATTGGTTTCTTTCTCTACATCTAGGTGATCTAAAGCTTCGGTTCTAATGTTCAAGTTTGAATAATTTTTTAACTCTAATTGTTTGGTGCAATTGGTATTCCTGCTCATTCATATTGTCTCATTGTCTATACTAATATATCCCTCTCTTTATGTAGAGCTTGACCCTATAGTGAACTATATATTTGTTTCATGTATACCTCCAGGAGGAGCTAACTAGACATCCAAGATAAGGTGCCATGGTGTATGATATTTGCCAATGATATAGTGTTAGTTGCTGAAACTAGTGATAATCTTAATGCGAAATTAAAATTATGGAGGCATATGCTGGAGTCTCAAGGCTTTAAATTGAGTAGATCTAAAACTAAATATATGGAATGTAAGTTTAGTAGTTATAGGGAAGCAAGTGCTAGTGTGATTAAATTGGATGGTGGTAGCACCAAAGAGTACTCATTTTCAATATTTGGGATCAATTATTCAGAGCAATGCTAAGATAGAAAGGGATGTAAATTATAGATTCAAGCAGAATGGATGAGGTGGCGAAGTGCGTCGGGTGTGTTGTGTGATTGCAATATGCCTTTAAAGTTAAGGGCAAAGTCATATAAAACAGCTATAAGGCCTGCATTGTTATGTGGGACTAAGTGTTGGGCCATTAAGAAATAACATGATAAGAAAATGAGCGTAGCTGAGATGAGGATGCTTAGATGGATGTGTGGTAAAACTAGAAGAGACAAAATAAGAAATGAAGAGATTCAAGGAAAATTAGACATAGTCTAACTTGAGGAAAAGATGAGACTAGGCCATTTGAGATGGTTTGGACATGTGAAACATAGACCTATGTATACATCAGTAAGGAGAAGTGAGCCTTTGGATTTGGGTGAGACTAAAACTTTTAGAGGTATGCCATGAAAGACGTGGATGCAAGTAATAAGAAATGATACAGGAGTTAAGAAAGTAGATGAAAAAGTTTTTTTTGATAGAAATAAGTGGCGTAAGAAGATTCAAAACTACAACTTAGTTTTTTATAGAAAAAGGTTTTTTTGATAGAAATGAGTGGCCTAGAGAGGACTTAACCCTCATTTTTTATAGTAATAAGTACATGATTCCTTTTTGTAGCCTTTCATATAGTCGACCCCGGAGTTATAGGATATAAGACTTAGCTTGTTGTTGTAGTATACCTCCAAGAGGAGTGGGATGCTTAGTTTTCTTGCAATTTATTCATTACTTGTAGTTGATTATGGGAATTGTGGCATGCTTGTTTGAATCCATTCATGCAATTTCCTTTACTTCAAACACTTTCAAGTTTCTGTTGATTCCTTGTGACTTTTTGCCTAGTGATCACCCTTTCTTGTAGAACTGTTTTCCAAGAGGCATACTGTGCTTTTGGTAGCTCTAGGTCAAATTTGGTGCCAAGCAGGCATGTTTGATAGGAGAAAAATATGTCCAAGGACAAATTTATTTTAATTTTTTTTTTAAGGAAGCATTGGCATACAAATTTGACTTCAGTAGTTGCAAATTCAGAAGTTGACTCAGAATAGATAGCCATTTTTTTTTTTTTGGTGAGGCACTTTATTTAGCAGAAAGAAATGATGGTATCGTTTTTTGAAATGATTCATTTCAATATTATAAGGTGAAACTGAGATTTTGAGTAGTGGATTGGGTTGTGTAGGATGGATTCATCCCTTGGCTTAAAGACTAATGGAATGCAAAACTGAAACTAGAATGCTTCAAGGATTTAAGTTGTTGAGAGGGAATGCAGAAAGAAACAGAGGGTTGTCATAAGTTTTGCTTTTAATTTGCCACAAGAAGCTAGAAATGTAGTGTAATTGAGAATTTGGAAGTGCACATTGGGACATGTTTGGATTCATTTGTATGTTTGATGATCCTTATGTGATATTTCATGATTCTTCAGATTCAGGCTAATAAATAATATTTGCCTCTAGAATAAAAGATCTCATGTTAGGGCTTCTTTCTGCCTTGGTGCTACTAGGTGTTGTTGGACAATGTATTGATGCTTACTGGTCTATAAGGTGGTGAAGTAGGAATGAATTGATAGCTAGGAATTGCATGACTTGAATGTGATTTTTCTTTACCAGAGTTAGGACTTGATGTTTGTTGTGTAGGGCTGCTCCTTTTTTTCAGGTCAGTGGGTATGTTGTTTCTGATAGGGTATGTATTACTTGTTTGTTCTGGAATTAACATAAATGTTTAAATTTCATTTGGAGCTGCCTTTCCTCTGTTATTTTTATGATTCCAAACGGGGAACTATATTTTCAAGGTATTTTCATATTTGATGTAGGAAGAAGAGTCATCAAATTATCAAGAACCAGAGACTGGTGACAATCAATTTAGTGCCACAGAGGAATTTCACAAGGTGTTTTCAATTAGCTGTAACACTCTATTCGTTCCTCTAGTATCTTATTTATTCGATTTAATGTAGGAGACTTGTGGTCTGCAGGATGAGCTGGAGATAGACAATCAAGTGGAGGATATTACAATTCAACAAGAACATGGCAAACTACAGGAAGATTTGGAGCATAATCAGAAAGATATAGAACCCAATGAGCAACAGTATGTTCCACGAAGGCCCTATCAGAACCAAAGAGGTGGTCGTGGTACTGGGGGTGGCTCTAGGGGTTACTCCAATGGTCGTGGAGGTCGAGGCAGTGGAAGGGGAGGCGGAGCCTACCAGAATGGTCGTAGCCAGTATTATGATCAGCCTGGCAACTATTATTCTAGGAACTACTACAACAGGGGAAGAGGTAGCAGAGGCAGTGGCCATGCTTACAACAATCATGGCTCAGCAGTTAAGGGTGGTAATGCCTCAGCTGATGTTGGTGTGGCCTCATGACAGCTTTGCTTGGTGTCTACACGGTCTCTTTTTAGAGGTGGGTGGTGAAAATGTACTTTTAAGCTCTGCATGAAAAATGATTAGAATGTGGGTTGATGTTGATATCGTACCATCCAGGGCACCCAATTTAACTTTTTTTTTTTTTTTTTGTAGTTCAGTTAATTAAGGACTTTTATTGGAATCATTGAAAAACAGAGTCTGTATTTTGGTTTAACATGCAATTTTTGTGGCCATATACGCGATCCATCGACCATGGTTGGTTGATTTAATCAAAAGTGGCTATCGTGTTTAATTATCGTCTATCTTGTCATGGTGGGTGCTAATCTATCTCATTTTACCGATATTTCGTGAGGAATCTTGGGATTATGAAATCAGATGCTTCCTCCCTGGATTCGTCAATTAATCAGTTGGATGCCGCCGTGGCTCTATGTTTGTAATGTCATTTTCCAATGCTCATGCCCAGTTAATATTCCGCTGATGTAACATGTTTCCAGCTAAAAGCCATTACGTTAGAACAAAAGTGAAAATGCAGTTTAGGCGAATGACCCCTAGAATTGCACGCATCTCTAAGATAATTAAACAACTCCTTTCTGCTTGCATTAAACCGATAGCAATTACCACTGCAGCTGGCTGAATGCTTAATCTTGTAAACACGTCAAATTTGAAGGAACCAATCCGGCCAAGTCGAAGGTGGCGGCAGTGTCTAAGGCATAGCTATGAACTATGAATTAAATTGTTATTTATACTATTTGTTAGAATCCAACATGAAGAGTGGTTTTAGGTCATCTGGTAACATTTTTCTCCATAAACTACATACATACTGTACAAAACTTGAACCCTTTCAATTGATTCTACCAATATAATTGATGATTGCGTGCTATCATTTTCTCCTATAATAATTTACTAAATAAATATAATAATTTATATATTTATATTATATAAAATATTAACAATTCGTGAATTTATCATCCACTGTAGCTTTGGCGTAACTCATTGCTACCTAGAAATACAACTTGAACCATTAAAAAAAAAAAAAACTTCTAGAATCATATCTTTTTTATTCAAACAAACGAAAATTGTTTCTGGAGGCGGAATGTCAGAACTATAATTCAATTGCTGACTTTAAATGTCAGCTATCATGGTTTTGGTCACTTTAACTTTTCAACTTCATTTAAAAAAAAAAAAAAAAAAAACAATATCGTTTGCACCACAAACAACTTTTTCTTCTTTTTTTGAGTGGTTTGGGGAAGCTCACGGAAAGAAAAAAGGTTCCCTCAGCAAAAGCTAACTTTTCTTTTTTTTTTTTATTACTATTATTTTTGTTTGGAAAAAAGAAAATGATTATAAAAATAATTTGAGAAAGAATCTTAAAACAAAAAAAAAAAAAAAGGAAAGTAAATAGTCCTTGTTCATGACTACTTGAGATTGAATTATTCATGGCCAAGTAAATTCTGCATTCACCGCCGATAAAGATAATGAATCTCATAATCACAACCGTCACTAAAAATTAATGTTAGTTAAATTTATTTACAAATACATTATTGCAATATATATCTTTTATTTAATACTTTAAGAAACAAATAAAAATTTTAAATTAGCAAAGTGGTATAGTAAAAATTAAAAGAAGAAAATAACAAAAATAACCAAAAAAAAAAAAAAAAAAGGCTATGTTAAAAACAACAGTGGCGAGAGTGAGAGTCACTATAATGGTAACAACGACTTCAAGTACTATTATACCATATCGTGAATTTTGTCTATTCAATATTATTTTATATAATAAATTTTAGGTAAAACACACAAATAATCACTCAATTTTAAGAATTATTTTAAAATAATTATTTAATTATTTTTTTTAATTTAATTAAAATTTAAAAATGATTTTTTCACTAAATTGTTAATATCTAAAAACATACTTACATGACATTATCATATCAATTATCAACTTAATGTTATCACATCATCTAACAAGTCATGTAACATTATTAACATGACATTTATAATTTAAAATAAATAAATAAATAAATTTTGGTTATTTATCTTTTTAAATTTTTTTAATTTTAGTCACTCAACTTTAAAACCCTTCAATTTGGTCACTAACAAATATGTCTTCAAATTTTATAAAAAAATTAAAAATAAGCATTTGATATTTTTATTGCATGAAATTAAATTATGAATTTTTATTTTATTATAATTATACTATTTAAATTTAAAAAATAGATGAATATTAATCAATTGATAAAATTATTAAAATATTATTACTTCAAATATTTATTGTTCAATTAATCCAAATAAATTCAAGTATTTATTTTTAATTTTGCATTAATATTTGAATATTACCCTCAATGTAATTTTATAATGGTTTAATCATTAAAGGTTTGTGAAATTTAATATAATAAATTATTTTATTTTATTTTTTATCTATATTTATTTAATATTTTATTACTTGAAATTAAAATAAAATTTTCTCATTATGAAATATGAAATACTTATTTTTCTTTATTTAGATGAGCTAAATGACAAAGATTTGAAATAATATTATTTTAGTAATTTTTGCAAATGGATAATATTCATCCATTTGCAAATTTAAATGGTATAATTACTATAAAATAAAAATTTATAATTTAATCCTATAGAACAAAAATATAATAAACTTATTTCTATTTTTTATAAAATTTGAGAATTTATTTATTAGTGGCCAAATTGTAAATTTTTAAAGTTGAATGATTAGAATAGAAATTTTAAAAAAATTAAATGATGAAAATTTATTTATTTTTCAAATGTCACATCAATAATGCTACATGATTTGTCAAATGATGTATAGTGTCATGTGGCACTTAACAACTGATATGGCATTACCATGTCAATATACCATTAGACACTAACAGTTGAATAATCATTTTAAAACGATTTCTTAAAGTTGGGTGATTATTTATGTAATTTATCTTAAATTTTGTTATATAATTTTCTTGTTATGTAGTATGATTTAATAAGTAAATTACATATTTAATCACTTAAGTATTTTTTTCATTTTTAAAATTTTGATAATTAATGTTTATAAAATTTTATTTTTTTAGTACTCGAATCATTAAGGTAATATTGGGTATTATTTTCAAAATTATCATGGCAATTTAATCACTGAGGTCATTTTATTACTAAGATAATCTTATCACTCGTTATCTAAAATTACTTTATTTAGTTAAAAATCATTAATTTTTAGTAATTAAAGATAATTACATTTGGTATTACTAAAAATCAAATATTATTTATTTGAAAGTACCAAAACAACTTTACACATTATAGTAGTTGTACAAGTTACTATGACAATGTTATTTAAATATAATAATTTTTCTAAAATATTAATAATATTTTATTTTGCTTTATAATAAAATATAATTAAATTATTAAATTAAAATATATTTATTGATAAGAAACTAGTGTTTTATTGTATAAAGGGTTAATAATACTTATAGTTCTTAAATTTTGACCAAAATTTTTATTTTGATCCTAATCTTTAAAAGTTTTAATCGAATCTCCAATTGTCCAAAGTTGTCTTACTTTGATTTGTCTTTTTATAGAACCTTCTAAATTGATAATAAATATTAGCTGGCACTATGTGATGAAATCAACTAGCACTAATGTCATAAAGGGGGACCAAAATAGAATTTTATCAAAGTTTATAGACCGGTGATGAAACTATCTAATATTTTAATATATTTCATGTATAATTTCTAAAATATTAAATTTAAAATTATATTTTAATATATTTTTGTTATAATACAACTTATTAGTTAGATTTTTTGTTTTAAATAAAAATTGATATTTAAAACTTAAAATTAAATTAAAATTTCAAATTCTTTTTTTAAAAAAATCAATACATTTAAAAAAAATATTTTCTATTAAAAATATTATTTTACTCATAAATCGTAATAAATATTATTATTATCTATTTGAAAAATTAATTTTTAAAAAAAATTAAATATCTTTATTTTTCCTTTTTAATTATATTTATAAAGTATATTTTATAAAAAAATAAAAAATAAAAATAAATTTATATTTTATATTAATATAAAGTTTTTAAATATATTTTATAAATTTATATTTTATATTATATTTATATTTATATTTATATTTTATAAAAATAAATATATTTTATAAAATATTTTATATTAATATAAATATTTATTTTATATTTTATATTAATATAAAGTTTTATTAATATAAATATTTTATTTTTATAAAATATAAATTTATTTTTATATTAATATATCAATTTTATTCATCACTTCATCTCGAGGATAAAAAATTTTCACCTTTTTAAATAAAAATTAAATTATCCTCTAAAATAATAATTTAATTATTTTTTTATCAATAATCACTTATTCATCTGATACCAAATAGGGTTAATAATTAGTTTGATAATACTCATCATGTGATCATTGTCACATCACTTGATATATCACATGGCATCATTAACGTATGACCAATTTTGGAAAACGAATTATATATTCCAAGAAAAAACCCTTCCACGTTTGGTTACTTAACTTTTTGAATTTTTCACCGATGAAACTTTAAATTAATGGTAAGGAAAATGTCCTAAATTTTAAAAGTTTTGGGTTTAAATTGTATCATGTGTGAATTTAATTTAATTTTATATTAAATTTATCTAATCATATGTTATTGGATTTATCTAGCCATATCTTAGTTTGTTCATCGATTTATTTGCATATTTAATTCATTAATTTCTTATATGTAATACTTAAATTTGGATTATGATTCCTCTTGTACTAATAATTTCATAAAAATTTCAGAAATTTCTATTTTGTCACTCATTTTTTTTTTTTAATTTAGCAGTAAGTGGTGTCTAGGTTTTATTCAATACATTCTTTCTCTGAACTAATTCAAATAAGCTTATTTATATTGGAACTATTAAATTTATGAGAAATTATTTTCCCATAATTTTTTAGCAAATTCGAATCTAAACAATAAAAAAATACTCATTTAATGTTTGTACCAATTATTCATGAATATTTTATCACTTAACTTTAAAAAAATCATGATTATATCACTAAAATTTATGAAATTTATCAATTAACTTAAAAAAAATCATAATATATATCACTAAAATATATAACTGGTAAATTATATATGGGATTAAATTAATAGTAAAATTAATTTCTTAATTTTGTTCATATAAAGTTAAATATATATATATATATATATCTAAAAAAAAATTGTCAAGAACATGGGCCCGTTCGCACCGAAACTTGTTTATGGTCGACCTTGTCCACACATTATTAAAAGAAGAAAAAGATCAAAAGGCAGCATGCAAGCATTGATCAATCCAGGAATAAACTTTAATTTTATTTTTGGCTTTGGTCTTTTAGCAGCAAAGCAAAAGGCAGGCATCTGTTTATTTACAGATAAATTAATGCTGATCGCACGTAACTGGAATAGTCCTTTCATCTCTTCATTTGTAAATTAGGAATTGTGAGATGCATCCTCTTGTCAATTCCAGGCATGGAACCATTACAAGCTTAGTGGGGAAAAAAAAAATAAAGTAGAAAGAATGAAAAAGACTTGAAGATGCGTTTTATCGGCCGCAAGTTATTTTGGCACGCATCTTGTAGTTTTGATTGGCTCATTTATGTGTTCTTTTGAAGCTGATTATTATTTCTTTTTTAACACTGGAAGGTGATTTTTTTTAAAGAAATTATAATTTAAAAATTATAATTATAATTAAATATTATATTTATATAGAATATTTTAATAAATAATTAATTAATTTACATACAATTAAATTTAATTTTAAAATCTCAAAATTCTAATTTTTTTTTAACTCTAAATCAAGATCTTGTTTTATTGGAAGGTGATTACTTTATTTGCTTGGCAAGATGCTAACGGGATTTATCCTTCCTTTTTCTGTCAGTACTAATTATGTTCACGTCATCAACATTCGCCAAACCCGGAGTTTCTTCCACTTGTTGCAAATCATACCATTTCATGCGTTTTTTTTTTTTTTACTTCTTAAAAGGTCATGGCATGGGGTTTCTTTTTAGCTACTAGATGTCTCCGCTCAATTTTGGTTGAAGTGGCAAAATTAACTTCAACCTAAAACCCATCTAAAAATATTTGAACTCTAATTTGTCCAAACTCAAATTAATTAAAAAAAATTAAAAATTAAAATGCAAAATAATCCAAACCTACAATAGTTTTATCCAAATCCATAATAACCCAAATTTAATATTTGATCTAAATTCAAAACAACCCAAAAAAACATGAATAAAAAGTAATCCAAAACCATTCGAACCAAACTCATTTGCCATCATCTCTTATTGTTGTTTTATTTTTTTTTTAACTGTTAGTTGGAATTTTATCAAGTCTTGACTTTAGAACTGTCTGTTGGGCAAAATTTTACTAGACGCTTTTCTGTTAGAGGCTTTTTTAAATACGATAATTCCAGGAATTAAGAAAGTGAAAATTTTAGCTTTTAAATCTAGTCATACTCAATCAACAATAAATAATTTTGTTGGTATAGATTAAGAAATAATACTCCTTTCATCCTAAATTGTTTTAGAGGTATTTACGGATTTTAGAAAAAGTTTTAATTTTAATATATTTAATATTAAAATTAAAGTTTTATAATTTTTAATATCAAAAAATAAAAATAATTTTAAAATATAAAATAATAAGAGTTTTAGATATATAAAATAATATATATAATTTTGAAATATTAAAAAAATGAATAAAAAAAATTGGGATAAGCGAGTATTAGAAGATAAAGCGGATGCTCTAGCATGAATGGGCGGCTGTGAGAGCCGTGGGGACACACCTTCAGTTTAGAAACCAGGTTCTTAGGCATAAAATATTTCTGGATTAGCTCACACAATCTTAAAAATTGTACCTTTGCAGTTTTCCCTTTTTCTTTTTTTTCTTTTTTTTTTGTTTTTCTCTTTAAACAGATAGATTTTTTTTTTTTTTACCAAATTGTTTCAATGCAGTCCACGAGCCAGTGGAGAGCACAGCTTGAGGCCTCCAAGCAAAGTAACAAGCTGGTAAAAAAATACAGCTGCCATCCTCCAACATTGCAAAATGCAACAAAGTTATTCTCTGTAAATAGCAATATCTAATCAACTTGGCTTTCTTAATCCTAAGATGTATAAATGATCTAGAACTTAGTCAAGAGTCAGTGGCTCAATACAAATCTTTGCTAAGAAACTTGTTTACTCTTGCTGAATTAGAAAATTGGTTAATGATTTCTATGTTTTGGTCTGAAGGGTTTGAACGTTGGTGCGGACCATGCAAATGGATGGAACCGGCGGTTGAAGAGTATGCTTCTATATATACAGATGTTCAGTTCATCAAGATTGATGTGGATATGTTGGCGGTAACACTTTATTCTCTGCTTCTTCTTTTCGTCTTGGTTTGCAGTATGCTTCAAAAGTAGATTTGGTTTGATTTGATTGTGATTCTGATGAAGAAAAACATACATATACTATTTGAATCGAAACAGGATGTGGCTCGCGAATTCAAGATTGAGGCAATGCCGACATTCGTTCTTGTTAAGAAAGGGAAAGAAGTAGAGAGGATAGTGGGGGCTAGAAAGGCTGAACTGCAGAAGATGATTGAGAAACACAGGGTCTAAATGGTGAATGCATTTGGGCAACAGAAAGCAAGGCCAGTCCTGGAATTATATTCCTTTACCATAAATAAGTAAAGATTAATAAAAATGGCTAAGCAAAACGGCTGAATAAGGTTGCTGTTATGTTGGTATATAAACGGTGAAGGAAGGGGCTCACTTTCTTTTATTGTTTGTTTTAGAGAGTGCTAATATAAAGTCTCTTTCTTTTCTAATTTCTAGCTCTTTCTATCCTTCTGTATTATATACCACTTGGTAAAACATTGGCATATCTATTCCATAATAATATAATCATTCTAAAAATAAACATGCAAACTCCTATAGTTGAATTTGAAACAAGTCAATACATTAAAATTCGTCATTCCCAAAACAAAAGGTCTTTCCTGCAACTTCCAGCATAAAACTACGCTAAATACAAGTACACAAAATTTCAATTAGAATAGAGTGGCAGATAGGGCATGCTATCAAACACTGTTTGTAACCCTTCAAACTAGTTTCCTACCATGCACAATCTCTCCCCTTTAGTAGTTGAGAATTAAAATTAAAACTATTTAGATTCAGTTGACTATCAATATCAATAAGTGTCAATAGATGGTTGTGGCCTCGGGCATGGACTGCTTGACTATTTACCAGCTCCACCCAACGTCCTCTTCAGATCAAACTTCTGCTCTGCAGTGAGCGTTGATGGAAAAATGATCTCAAATTTGATTTTAAGGTGTCCCTTCTTGCTGGGTTCTTTTGAGATCGGCATCCCTTCGTTTGGGATCATCACCTCATGACCTGGTTTCACAACATCTAAAACTGGGATTGTGAGATTTCTTCCATCCAAGGTTGTCAAACTGAGGGTAATCCCAGTGAGGGCCTCAAGAAGAGAGATTTTCTGATTGACAACCAGATCGTTCCCATCCCTCTTGAAAATAGCATGGGGTTTCTCATCTACCACAAAGATAAGATCAGCTGGAGTGACACCAGGTTCATGGTTTCCTTTCTCAGGAAATGTAATTTTTGTGCCCTTCTTCCAGCCAGGTTCGATATCTATTTTTAAAATTTCCTCCACGGTCTGTGGCTTACTGCAAGAGAGATACTTGTACATCAAACAAAGATGAAAATAATCTAGAAATACAAGAAAGCAGTAACCATATCAATACAAGTTTTTGCTCCCACCTAATATTTTAAGTGATGAAAACATCACGGGAGAGGGGAAAAGCAAAAGGGACTGCAAAATCCTATACTTTTCAGATTTATTACACTACACTTCTATTTAGGTAAGGTTACAATTTGTTTTGAATAAACTGGACTTGATCACACCTCATAGACAAAATGATTGAATTCAAGTGAGGACAAAAATGAAGGCCCATACCGTCTAGGTCACTTTTAATCCTGAAAATTTAACTATATAAACAAACATCAAGAATAAACATGCGCAATATTCCAAGTAAAATTTCACAAAGGCAGCTGGTCTTCGTAAAACTATTTTGTCTGGTTAGTTACAACTTATTTTCTTAATTAACCAGTCAGCCGACCCAACATATGAGTACAAGAGAAGGGTCACCTTTCCCCATTTAAATTGATAAACAGTTGACAACAAAAGACACTCTATATAGCCTATAAAACATTCAGTAGACAACAAAGTAATAATTAGAGTTTCCAAGTTCTGACCCTATTTGTTACAATAACATGCTTGTCTACCTGATTAACATTGAAAAGATTGCCCGGGTTCAAGTGATTTAATTGCTTTATTAGTGAAGAAACATGAATTTTCTAGAAAGTAGATAGAACATAGGGATATTAATCTTACCCAAACTCAACGGAGAACTTGGTTTTTTTTTCTAAGGAGATGTGAATTAAATTTGGGGAAGGGGGATGGGCATGGTTTTAAATTTTTTATTGGATACAAGTAGGGAATGGATAATATAGCACCCATCCCATATCTGTACTCTATATATTTATATATATTTAATAAATTATTTTTTATTTAATAATATAAATTTTATTTTAGATTTATTAGAACTAATATATTTGTATTTTAAAAATACACATTTATAAAAAAAAATTACTTAAATGTAAAAGATAAAAATAATTATTTTTTATTTTTAAAAAAAACCATGGATATAGGGATTATCCATACTCATTAAATATTTATGGCGACGGGGATGAGAATAAATTTGAAATATCTGTTGTGTATCGATATAGGAATGGTTATAATATAAAAAACCGGGAATGGGGATAAGGAATGCTCTACCTGCCCCATACCCTACTCATCCACATCCCTAATAGGACAAGAACAAACAAAACTAAACTGCCTTAAAATTCTAAGACTCAAAATCTTTTCCAAAAGAGAAAAATCAACACGTTACATTCATTCTATAATAATTGGCATGTGATAGCACTAGCAACAACTACTGGAAAATTCCACAAGATGCAAGTTCTACAGCAGTCAATCCATCAAGTTTAGCAATCAAATTCTGATATTGCCAATTTGTGTTCCTCACATACCTCAATGCATATTTATTAAAACAGGAAATAGACAGCTTTAGATCGAGGATATCACAACTACCATCAATATAGAGCAGATGCACAAAATATCAACTGATCCATAAGAAATTTCAATAGGAGCCCATATATTGCCACTTTTGACAGGTAGACACTGCTAAAACCCCTAGTTAATAATGGGTGTCATGAATTTCCCATAAGTCCCCACAGCAAAATTGACAAAAACTAAACGCAAAACCAGAATTCAGGTTCAAAAAGTAGTAAAACATAAGTAGAAACCAACCCCCCAACTCCCTTTCAAGGAAAAAAAATCAATCTTTCAACATGCATATTTTTTTCTGCAATTCTTAATTTAAAAAAAAAGGTTTAATACTTTTCAAAATGGCAAAACACTAAAACGAATCAATCCCTCTAAATAATGACACAGTTATCAATTTCCCTTGACTAACCAAAAAAATGAAGAACAACACCCATACCAAGATTGGTCCTTCTCCAAAATTCAGCTTACATATGCAGCAAACAAAAACAGATTTAAAAAGAAAAATCCATCTTTCAACATGCAAAACGTTTCTTTAAATCGCAATTTAAAAAACAAAAAAAGCTTAACACTTTTATCATGAAAATAATAACAAAAAAAGACTGATAAAATTAAAAAATTTGTGGATTGTACTAACCCAAATTCATCAGGAACAGTATGGGAAATCCGCAATTTTCTCCTACCCCCTTTATAAAGCTCCTCCAAACTACAAACCAACTTGCTTTCAACAGGCGCCGCCTTCTTGTTCCCTTGACTCCAACGCATCCACATCTCCATAAAACCTCTTTCTCGTGACTCAAAAAACTCCGCAAATATATCATCCCCATTCCTCAGATTAAACCTGTAGGTCCCACGACCGACACCGCCGCCATCACTAAACCCACTAGGGCTGGATAGTTCAGCTGACTTAAGGCCTTCTTCACCGCACAGATCATAGATCTGACGCTTTTGCGGGTCGCTGAGGACGTCGTAGGCCTCAGAAATTTGCTTGAATTTAGCCTCCGCGTCTTTCTTGTTGACAGGGTTCTTGTCAGGGTGCCACCTCATGGCGAGGCGTTTGTAGGACTTTTTGAGGTCCTCTTCCTTCGCGTTACGGCTGATTCTTAGAATGTTATAGTAGTCAACTCCCATTTTCAGCTCTGGCGCTCGTTATTGCTTTTTGGAAGATGTGAAATTTTTTTTGGGTTTTTTTGGCAAAAAAAAGGTTGGGTTTTGGGGTTTTACGGGGTTGAGCGCTAATGGTAAAGGTGGGGGGAAATGGGAAATGGAATGGGAAATGGGAAATGAGAAATGAGAATGGTAAGGAGAAAAGACAGCGCCGAGTCGGCCGGGCTTAGGAATCGATAAGGCAACAGGAAACGAGATAGGTGGAGCAGCAGCAATCTCCGTTTTTGATGCGCGTATGGTTGATATATATCTTTTTTTTCTGTGGCAAAGTTCTGTCTAACAGCTAACGTCTTGAAAGGTTCCTCAATTGCCAATACCATTTTGACACACACATATTCTACTTGCAGTCCAAGTTTTTTTTTTTTTTTAATTTAATATTCTGTTATTTTTATAGTATAATTTGAAATTTTCAAATAAAAATTGAAATTGAAGATAATATGTGACTTAAATTTACTCCTATAATTTTTTTTTTAAGTTACTAGTACATTTTAAAAAAAAAAAACAAAAGGTAAACTAAATTCTTTGATATGAAAATATGATAAACTAATATGAGCCATATCATTCATTAAAAAGCATACACTCAATATATTTGTCCAAGTACTCAAAAATTTTTAAACCGATATAAACTCACTTTACTTCATTTATATATAATTATATTTAGTATTTTATATTTTTTATAAAATTATCAAAAATTAAAAACATAATATTTTGCCAACAATTTTATTTACAGTATTTTTTTTTTTTGAAAAATATAAGTGATGCGATGATGTATATTAGACTTAAAGGTATTTATTTATTTATTTAGACATTAGATAGTGAACAATTTACTAGAAGGACTATGTTTCCAAAAAAAAAAAAAAGTTAATACTATCAGGAAGATGAGATGACGGGCTTGCGAATAAATCAAAAGGCCACGATGGCACGTGCAGTGCAGTCAATAGACTTAAGGAAGGGAATTTGCAATAGCTATGCCGGCCATTAGCTAGCTGGAGTAGAGAGAGTGTCTTCCGCTCCAAGAACTTTTTAATGATATTTTTGCTTTTAAAATATCCAGAATCTGCTTTAAAAATATACAGAATCTGGTCGGAATCCTCGGGTACGTAACTAAATAAATTCCTACCCCTCCTTGGAAACGACATCGTCTACTCCTAAAACTTTATTGATCTTCCACGTCCCTCTATTCGCTGGTATTCTATACTGTGTTTGTTTGTCCCTTTCCTTGTCCTAATTCACCTTTCATTCCTCAATCAGGTTCGTTTCCCATTTAACAATTTACAAAATGAAAATGACACGTTTTAACTTATATTAAAGAAAAACGACCTCCAATCAGGTTAAGATGATTTACCATTTCATCATTCTTCGAATCACTAAACATTTTAAGATTAGATACATTTGGTTTCAGCAATTTGTTTTTGGTAAAAAAAAAAAAATTAAGTGATATGATAGTATTTTATTTTAAGATTAAAGCATATCACAAGTTTTAATAAAAATTTATATTAAATTTACATATTGTTCATAAAATAAATAATTAACATTTACTTGTTAATCATTTCACATATATGTTTTAAAATTTAAAAAAAAAAAAAAACAACTCTACCGTTAGAGTAAGATTCTTCTCATTTCTCATTTAGAAGATTCAAATATGAATTGAAATCAAATTGTAAGATTTATGTACAAGGTGTAATGATGGTTCATTGAAGATTTATATATAATGTGAGAGGTGCGATGATGTGAGTGGTGGATTTAAAAACTATTTGAGATTGTTCATTTAAGAACTATTGATAAATTTATTAATTTTATCTATGGAAAAGATGATTAGGAAAAAATTTTAAGTCAAATTCTTTATTTTATTTTCGTTTTTGAAGATGTTCATAAACTTCTACATAATACATTAAGCCGTGGACATGTCAATATATTCATGTGTACATAATAATAACCATTCATATTTTATATATAAATGCTGCATATGTATGGAATTATTTTGGTGCCACGTTTTATGTTGTTGTTTTTTTTTTTTAATTTTTTCCAAAATAAATGCTACATGAACGAATACTACTAGCGCCACGTGATGTGTTTTTTTTTCTTTGAATTTTTTCTCTAAAAATTCTAAAACATAACTTACAACACAAAAAAATTTGTCAAAAACCCCTTTATCTACTATTATTACCACCCTACTGCCCTAATCATACAACTCAAAATACTAACACTACTACCATTGTGAACTTCTTGTAGCCAGCACAAAAAAACTTCACTAAAATAAAAAGAAAAATCCAAAACCCATTCCTGCCTTTAGCCTCCACCTCCAAACAACCATCACCTAATACACAAAACAAGCAAACAACCATACTATTGATGTCAAGCTTCAAGTTAATGGGCCAAATTGTAAAACCATAAGAAAAGAACTATGATGTCATCATCATGTGGAAATTAGATTCCTTCCATGTCTTTCGATGTAAAAGAGATCGATTTATCTTTCCAATCTTTTTTTTCTTAGCTAATGACCCTATGGTCATAACCATTCTCTGGTCAAACTTCTTTTTAACTGACATACAGCTTCCCCCAATAATCATGTTAATTATGCCTGTAATGGGCTTGTTATTTACTGCTCAACATTTTTTTTCTTCTTACTCATTCCTCTAGTTCTAACCACCCCCGTTGCCTTGCTCTAGATTCTTTTCTATCCCTTTTCTCTAATCCTCTATTTTATACTCCATTCTACCCTGGCTTTGTCTTGCTCAGTGCATAAATATGCTCACCTGACCTCTCTTGGTAAGACATTTTATTTTATTCTTTAAGTTGACACTGTCTTTTGTATTATAATTGATATTTTATAGAAGTCACATCTCTTGGTTAGGTCTCTTCTTGTATTCTACCGCAATGGCTCAACCATCTAAGCTCTTAGTCTTTTTTTATTTGCATCAGAATTCTTTCATGATAGACATTCAATGTAATGTAGTTCTTTTCTCTGCTCAAGTTTCTAGCCATGTGTCATCTCCATTTTAAAAAATGATTGTATAATTTTTTACCTTTTTTTTTTGTCGATAAGGGGGCCTCTCTCACATCGACTATCGATGAGAGAGGATAAGCCTTTCTCACCTTGGTTGTTTTTCATAGTAGCTTCAATATTTGTATATTTTTTAACCATAAACAGGACATTTATTAGTGTTTTTGGTGCCTCTAGCAACAAGGTAAACTTTAGCTTGTACTCTCTATCATTAAACCCACTGGTTAGGATAGCTACAATAGTCATTTGCTCTAGATCTTTCACTTGTAAAGTTTTTACGTTAAAATGTGTAACATAGTCTTTTAAAGACTCATTTTCTGAATTAATAGATTGACATCAGAATTAGAATAGTTTTCTTAGTTCCTCTACTACTGACAAATAAGAGAGGAAAAAGTAGCAAGCTCTTTGAATGTGGTGATCGACTTTGGTTTGAAGCTATAATACTAAGACTAAGCTACCCCTTTAAGGGTTATGGCTAGTGTTTTACACATCAAGACTTCATCTGCACCCTACATCATCATATTAGTTATATAGAGTTTCAAATGATCAAATGGATTAAAGGTACCATCATATGTCTTAAAGGTCAACATTTTAAATTTTTTTAAAGTTATGGTCTTGTCATTCTTTTTGGTGAAAGGCGAGGTCTCTAAGAACTTCACCTTGTCTTCAAAAGTGATAGCTTTTCCTTTCAGTTCTTTTTTCATGGCTTGCATTTTGGCCTTTAGGTCTCCATTCAGTTGAAGTTCTAGGTCAGTTTGTTTCGATTTTTGTGTGGTTGCATAGGTAGAGTTGTGGCTAGGATAGTTATGATGGATGGCTAGGGTAGCATGTTCTTCTTACCTTGAGGCTGAAAAGGCCTTCATTTTTTCATAGCTGGGCTATCTTTCTACTAGCTATTTGTTAAGGGTGATCAAGTCCGGTACCTTTGAAGCTTAGGGTGGCATTATGGTTTATAACTTCTACTTTAAGATTTAGATCTATTATGCCAAGGCTTGGAATTGTCTCATGGTTGGCCCCACTTGTACGAACACAGATTAGTCCCTATGTTGGCTACTATAAGTTTCAATCCCAGTCGAGATGGCTATTTCTCATTCCTCATTAGCTCTTTTTCTAGGTGGTATGGTGTCTAGCTCGACTAGAGAATAAATACCCCTACCTGGCACACTAAATGTTAATGCCAAACTTTGGGCTGGGGGTCAAAATCTTGAAATCACAAGAAAGTAAAGAGGGCCATTAGTGAATGCTCCATACACTTGCATTCCAATGCTCAAATTAGAGGTCAAGACTAAAAAGATTGGAAGGAGACGAAAATAAAGATGTAAGAAAAGAATAAAGGATTGGATTGATAGTACTTAGATGGCTCTATTTATAGGTAGAATGTGAAAGATTTGTGAGACAAAATGGTAACATAATCGATCTGATGTGAAACTATACATTCAAGTCAGCCTGACATGTCAAGTTGGCTCAAAAGTTAAAAATACCTCTAGTTGTCTGCTGACAATCTCTAATGAAAGAGATAACCAATATGTCCTTTAAACCTAAAAATACCCCTAACACATAAAATAAACAAGCAACACAATACCAATAAAAAAAACTTTAAGAAAACCACCAAAAAAATAAGAAAAAGAAAATAAGATTTCGTGTTAGGGGTGTTTTAAAAGGTTTTGGAATTGGGTTTTTAAAGGAAAAAGAAACTTAGGAAAAAGAAAGAACATATTAGAAGATGTGGTTTTGGAATGGTGGAGAATGAGTATTTTGGGTTTTGAATTCGCGACTTGGGGTCTAGATCTAAGAAAATCTAAGGATTTTTTAGGGAAATAAACTTGATAGAAGGAAATAGGAGTTTTGGGATGAAATAGTCATTGATAAGTAGTGGCCAGTGACGGTGGTAAGGGTTTACGACAATGTTGATGGTGGGTGACAATGGAAGCGACCTATTTATGTAATTTGAAATAGAGGATGGAAGAATCAGAGAGGGAATGAGAAATTTAAAGAAAAGGGGAAAGGTGAAAATGAAAGGAAGGGATTTTTAAGATTTTATTGTGTAACCAAAACTATATAGTTTTGGTAAAGAGAATACATAAATTTGGAGTTTTTTTTTTATTTTTTTAAACTTTTTTTCATTTTTGTTATATATATTCAAGAAATATTTCATAAAAAACAAGAAAACATATTTTTTAAAGATTTTATTTTTTTGATTTACTATACCATTTTTTTTGTTTTTTTTTACTTTTTTATTACATTTTCCATTTTTTCTTTTTTAAAAAATATTTAATAAAATATT